TTTAATTGAAGGCGATAGCTTCTAGGGCCGAAAAATGCTATTTTTAACAAAAAATGGTTCCTAGAACCCGATGGTTCCGGTGAAAAAATTTGAAAATATTTTTTTTGAATTCCTTGTCAAATTTTAATAAATTTTGACCGTTTCAAAAGTTCGATTGAAGCTTCCTAGCTCATTTTAGAGCAGGACAAAGATTAGTGCAAAATATCTGAAGACGTTTCTGAAGACATTAAGGAATGATAAAACTCGTTTGCTGCTCTAAAATGAGCTAGGAAGCTTCAATCGAACTTTTGAAACGGTCAAAATTTATTAAAATTTGACAAGGAATTCAAAAAAAATATTTTCAAATTTTTTCACCGGAACCATCGGGTTCTAGGAACCATTTTTTGTTAAAAATAGCATTTTTCGGCCCTAGAAGCTATCGCCTTCAATTAAAAAATCTGAAAAAATTTGAGATTACGTATTTTGATGAAAAAAACAAGAAAAAATTTTTTTCAGATTTTTCGAGGCTCCGTACTGTCCTAAAAAAATTATTTTCGTCAAAAAAATCGGTTTTTGGCTTCAAAAGGTGCGTTAGGTAATCTGAAAAAATCTGAAAAAAATTGAGGTTATGTTTTTTAATGCGAAAAATAACTGAAAAAATTTCCGAGTACTACATCGGCTCATACCGCCGTATCTCGATTTTTGAAATTTTCAATGATTTTATCTGAAGGCCTGAAGCACTCAAAAAATCTGAAAAAATTCAAGGTTGTTTGGATTGTGGAAAAGTATTTTTATGAATTTTTTCAGATTTTTTACTTGCTTCATGTCCTCAGAAAAAATATAGATCGAAAATGGACGTTTATACCGGAAGTGGGGGGTAGGAGGGGGGAGGGGGTCTAAAAATTTTTTTTTGGGACCTTTTTTCCATGTACTATAACATACCAAAAGCGCGTCAAGATCGGTGACATACGTGCGCACGGTTTTGTAAAAAAGTATTATTTTGACCCATATATATATATGATGTTTGTTGCTCCACATTGAGATTCGTGCGTCGAGTCGCGCGCGGCCGCAGGATGGATGCGCTAAAACATTGACGATCTGCACTTCCGATCGTTGCGCAGCTCTTGATACGGCTAAATCCGTTTTATACGTACTACCGATCCGACGATTCCAATGAACTCTTGTATCAACCTTCGAGATATATATATACAAACACACAGACCCACCCACGCGGCCCGACGAAAAATATGAAAAAAATTCTAACGGTGCCTGGCGGTCGTGCGCGCGCGAGCTCTGCCTGTCAAGCACACTGCACGATATATAGGTATAGCGAACTTAACGATCGTATCCCCGACCTTTTCGTTCGCGAGTAAACAATGCGATCCTCTGTACTTTGGTACTCCGCGCGCGGCTTTTACGCGCTGCAACTGAGAACGGTATTATTACGTGTGTGTGCACTCGCACAAACACACGCAGACACTTGGACGCTATGTAGCTCGGAGTGCAGGTACGCGCGAGGCGCATTAAAGAATGTTAATTCGGTCGTTGCATAAATCCACTCATAATTAAGCCCACGAACGGTTCTCTCGACGCGGCAATTTCGCGCTCGTACATATACTTGTAACGTGTAAAATTGCGCTTCTTCAGCGCCTAGTCGAACAATATATAATTCTGATACGGAGAGAGAGAGAGAGAGAGAGAAATTCACAGTGGAATAGAGGCTGAATAGAATGGCGTATAAGATCGAAGCGCAAATTCTTAAAGCGATAAAAAATGTGTTCGGCATCGTCATCGTTATGGCGTACACTTAACTACTACATACTATATACTACTACTACTGCTTACGGGTCAACGTACACAAGTACTATGTGGTAGAAAATCGTGCGCGAATGAATAGGCACGCTTCGATCGGCCTGTAAAGTGCCAATATCTACACTTTGTCTTCGTGACTCGACGACTATACAACGATGTGTTTGCTCGATTTCATCTTGTGCGTGCCGATGAGCTTGTATGTACATGCGCTAGGCGCGAATCCTCCCGCGTATATACGTAGCAACAACGACGGGCTTCCGAATTATCGAGCAAAAATCCAGAGTCTGTGTCGCTCGCGAGGAATCTCTTGTAGTGGAAGCCCCCCGTGCAAAGACGATGGCGACGACGACGCGTGGCTAATTGCATAAATTCCTGCGGCGTCCCTCGCTCAAAAAAAAAACAAAGACGGATAATAAGCGTAAACGCTCCGTCCGCACTTTTGGGGAGTCACTCTGCGCCTCTATACTTCTCGAGGCGCTCTCCGTGTTAAAATGTAATATGTGTTTGTGTGTGTGCGCGCGCGCGCGCGGGTGTCATTACAGCGCGTGCCGCCGACGTTATATAGCCCCGGCGCTGCAGCATATGCGTTGATGGATGCGAGCTTCTTTTTTTTTGTCTTCCCTCCTCCTCCTCTTCTTCTTTTTTCATTAATCAGTTTTTAGGATTATACCGCAAATAGGACACGAACGAGATCTCGTATCTTTTAGGATATTAAAGTTGCGCCTCGACGGGCTCGAGATATATATCGTGTACTACGCATTCGGCCTCGACGCGTGCGTGCCTTCTAACGATCGCGCGAGTTTTTCGATCTGACTCAGCTTTTATTACTTATATACACGCGCGGAGGGCGTGCAAGGGGCAAGCAATATCATCGTCGCAGGGCGCCGACAAATTAGCTCCGAGAGATGCCGTTTTCTGTCACCGAAACTTCCCCCCTTTCGCGAGCTCTTGTACGTATTTCGACTAATCCAGCTTACGTATCGTATGAAAAAGCTCGTCGAGTGCAATAAATTGTTCGGTCCAACAGCCTGTCAATTTATCATCGCGTCGCGCGCTCGCGCGCGAGTCGAAAATAAGAAACGCGCGCTCTTGATATTACGACGTTGTATCTTTCTTGTTTGTGTATAATATAAAGTATATAAAAGAGCTGCTGATACAAAAACGTGCTACAACGACAACAAAACGAAATTACGAGGCGATCTCGCGCGCCGTGACTATACGATTATAATACATACGATTTGTTGGAAATTACAGACGCGATGATTCAGGTGCAGCGCAGTACTGCGCGCAATTGCAAACTTTGAATCATCGCGTATACTTACTTGCAACCCGAGTACGTGTTTATTAACAATGACTCGTGTTCGGGATGCACATTTCTCAGAAGTGAATGTGTGTGGATATAAAACGCGCTTACACTCGAGAGTTGCGGCTAGCTAGCAAACTATGCTGTGCAACGCACTCGGCCAAGAGTCGCAATCAAACTCTCAAAGCTTTTACTATGTATGCACGTAGCGCGTTCAGCGCGCGTGGCTTATTTTACACGTTTCTCGTGTTGTTTTAGCGCGCAGTAGTCGTCAAAGAGCTTTCGCACACGAGCTTTTTTGACGGACTCGAACAACAATATAACGCCGAACGAGGGAATATTTATAGGAAAACGTATACGCGTACGCGTCAAAGCGTAAAATGTGTAACTTTGAAGTTTTCAACGCGCGCGATGGTCTCGAGTCGCATCGCTATATATATGCGTACAGCAGTTTGTCAGTGTAGGCATATAACATTGTATACGGTTGCAGTGTCGATTATTCGACTCTCCGAGCACGTATGTCGCTGCCCACTTGTCATATATACATATACCCATGTACGCAGTAAAATTTATATCTCGTCTTCGAATCGCGCTCACGTATAGACGCGCTGCCTCGTCGCTGGAAAAAGAATAAGAAGAAGAGCAAAAAAAAAAGAAGAGAGAGAGAGAAACGGCAGCGTTAAGTCACGTCGCGTTCCTGGCATATATCTATTTTCGAGCCCTATGGCTTAACTCGTCGAACGTTTTCAATTAGTATACACGGATGCCCCCGTACTTGTAGCTATATCCATCGTACATACGTATGAGTTTAATATTAGAGACGTATACGAACAAATTAACGCAGGTGGCCCCCCGCGATAACGGGGCAATGTTCTCTCTCGCGCGCTTGTATAATAACAGTGTAGGTGCGCGCCTTGAACAAACACGAAAAAAGTAGCGAAATACGATGTACTTTTGCGCGTACACCAAAAATAATATACCCCCCGCTTATGGCCGAGAGACCGCAATACATGGGAGCAAAGAAAGAACAAAGCAAACAGACCCAATCGAAAATAGACGCGCCTCCCGAAAATGTAATTTACGAGGAATTCTGGTAATATTATTATATTGGTGCGTTTATATATATATGGTGGCGTCCGAGTCACGAGTCTCTCTCTCTCTGTTTTTGTGCAGCATGTGACATGATTGAAAGAAACTCCAAAGGCAGGGACAGTGGCAACAGCTGCCTTTTTATATGATATACAAGAATATTAGACGAAATTTCGCTTGATTCATGCGCGCGTAAATACACGATAAACATCTCTCGAGTGCGCGTGTGTCAGCTCGCGCGCGCGCGCGAATTACGCGTACATAATGAAAAAAAAAGAGCGCGAGCTCGACGCGTGCCATCGCCGCCGACTGAGTGACTCGGATGAGTTGACGACGACGCCGCCGCCGCTTCTGCTTTTATAATTGCAAGACTAATTGTCAACGTCTCTCTAGCTGCCTCTCTTTCTCTCTGTTCGCGCTCGTACGTAAGCATGTGTTACGCGTACATGTGCAGCGCGGTGCATTGCTTCAGCGACGCCCACGCCCTTTTTCACTTCCTCGACTCCCTTCTTTTTTTTTTTTTTTTATTTCTCTTTCGTTCGCGATCGTGTTGTGCAGCAGCGCGCTGTACGTAGCATAGTGGCGCGTTTCCGGCCCTTTTACTTTTCTGCGTTGTGTGTACAGGCACGAATGTACGTGCCTATATGTACATTGCGACTCTTGCGCCGCGTACGTTCCAAAGAGAGGCTTAAGATTTTTTAATTAAGACCACGTTTCGGAGTGCTGTATATCGACTTTTATCATACATGTATGAAGCGTTGAAAGGCAGCGAAAGCATTCCGAGTAATAACGAGCCTCTTCTCCTTTTCTTTTCCAGACGACGATCAAAGTTTACGCCAACTGTCTGCGCACCGACATCGAGTACAAGACGCTGAGCATCACCTACGAGACGACCTGTCGCGAGGTCGTGCAGAATCTCCTCAACAAATTCAAGATGCGCCATCGCGACCCGAGGCTCTTCTACCTGACCATGGAGGTCACGGTGAGGCGGGCCAACGTGCGCACTGTACTGCCCCTCGACGAGGACGCCAGACCGGCGGTGCTACAGTCCTGTCATCCCAAGGGCGACTCCAAGTTCGCCCTGCAGACGAGGCGAGGTGGACTGGTCAAGATTTACGACAGCGCCATCATGCCAGCGGTGAGTTTCCTTGAATTTTTTGTTTTGATTTTTCTCGATTCAATTGCGGATTCAAAACGATGCTAAACGAGTTTGTCTTCATTCGTATGTCCAACACAGTCCAAGTACAAGAGTCTGCTGGTGTCGGAGCAAACGACCGTGGACGAGCTCATACAGATGCTGCTGAGCTGCTACAACTCGACCGAGCGAGTCGAGCTGTTCTCCCTGTACGAGGTGTCCGAGGGCGAGGAGTACCAGCGCAAGCTGCACCCCGACGATCTGCCGCTGCAGGTGACGCAGCGCTGGACCAGCGGCGATGATCGTCACCTCAGAATCAGGCGCAATCCCGATTACCTGCCCAATCCGCAGAGGCGAAAGGTAAACGTTCGATTTCATTATTTTTCATATCATTTCGTCGTCGTCGCCGTCGCCGTCGACCGATATAAATCTCGAGGCAAATATTTTCCCCGGTTAAAAGTACGTAGCTTATACTGCAGTGATTTTTCGTCGCGCTTATCGCGTGGAGCCGCGAGCAAATAACGATGGCGACGACGACGACGACACGAATTTATCTTTTGTGTATGTGTACTTTCGTGCACGACAGATAAGAGCCAACGTAACTAACTGCGGCTATCTTTTTTTTTTCTCACAGAGCATGTGGGCATCGGACTCGAGCATTACGCTAGCCATGTCGATGGTTCATCTGCAATCTCCGCCGGCGGCCCTGGCCAACAACACCCATCACCATCATCACTTCTTCAATCACCAAAGCAACAAGAATCGTCTGATCTACAACAGGCCGCACAATCACCTGCACCACCACCATCACCATCACCACCATCCGGACTGCAACAACAACAAACAAAAGCAGCAGCAGCAGCAACAGCAACAGCAACATCAACAGCAGCAGCAACAACAGCAACTGATAATGGTGCAGTCGCCGCAGGGCCTCAAGAGTCTGCCCACGACGCCGGTGGCGCAGAAGCACATCTCCACGACGTCGTACGCCGATTACGAGAATTACCTGTACATTTGACCTGTGGCGCGCTGCCGATGCCGCTGCTCGAGGAGCAGCGACGATCTGCTTTCCGAGCGCGACTACCGCCTCTGAACGCTGAATTCTGTGTACATTTCCTCTTGTGTGTGTGTGTTACCTTCGATTCCATTTTTCGTTCGACTGATTCTTTTGTTGTAAATATTATTTCCCAACGACAACGACAAAGAGAGATCTAGATTTAACGTTAGTCATTAAACTCTTATTGTACTATATTAGGCTATTTTGTTGTTTTTACGTTTTTCGTCGGCGATAAATTCTCGTTTTTTTTTTCTCTTTTGTACCAAAGCCTTTATACGTATAGGATCGCGTGAAAAAAAATTATTACCTTAGCTCCTTAAGTACCAGATTAGATAATGATAGAAGAGAGACGAATGTCGCGCGCGCGCGCGCGAGGCCGGAAGTGCTACTTTCAAAAAAACATAAAATCGCGACGTCTTGTATATTATACACAAGACGATTCGTGTCGTAATATACCTACGAAAACTGCCTTTGTACGGATATCGAGGCTTTTGTAAGAATAAATTATATGTACGTGTAAGTTTAGTGTATACTCATCGCAATGGACCAAAGATAATGAATTGTCGAATTCAGTAAATTATTTATCCGAACCTCGTAGAAAAGTCTATGATATCGATTTAAATGAAGTAGCTCGATTACAGTATCCGATATTTATATACAATGTATTTCGTCAAACGTAGAGTTAGAGAAGAAAAAAAAGTCAGAAATTTTGATAGAAATTATTATTCAAAAACGATTCGTGTTTCGTCGCAAGTATTCTACGGTAAAAAAATTATAATTATACATGTGTATCCCGAGTTGTAGTGTAAATAAACAAGCGAATGTATATCGTTTTATAAGCGTTAAAACAAAGGCCGGCTAAATACCAATGACTCATGTGTGAATTATTTATACATTTGTGCATGTAAAGAGAGCGCGGTGTGTACGTGTTTAAAAATGTATATAGAAAATAAATTTAAACAAAATAAAATAAAATACGTATAACTGATTGTGAGAATTGAATTTTGTAAATAAATTTTATAATATTGACTCTCGGCTAAAAACATTGTAAAAGCGTGTGCGGCTTTTATGAATTTATACAAAGATAATTTCGTGTAATAAATGTCTTGAAATACCTAAAAATTACTCTTGGCTATATTTTCACTTTCCCCGTTTCCAGTTTTGAATTTTTTTTCAGTGAGGCCTAACATCAAATCAAAACAATCGGAAATCTAGCAACCGCTACTATTGCTGTCAGTCGATTTGTTTACTATGTCCATTGCTCTAGTAAGCAATACTATTTGAAATTTTCTCTGTATACGTACAGTCGGTACCCGTTACGCAGAGTGAACACTGAAAAATAAGCGAATCGGCAAGTAATTTTCGCGAAAAATTTTTCAAAAATATCTCGAATTACAAAGGTATTTTGTATATCGAGTGTGAGTGCGTAAAATGACGAATTTTTACCGCGACGAATTCGATGAAAATTTCGATATCGATACCGACGTAGAGGACAATTTTGACGAAAATGATTTTGAACTTGCGGAGGTTCTTAGCGACGAAGAAAAATTAGAAAAATTGAAGAGCTTACGTGAAAAGATCGATTGGAAGGTCAACAAAGAGCTGCGCAGATTTATCCATCAAATTCGGCCTTTACTCGAAAATTGGAAATGCCCACTTTCAGACCTCCGAGACATTTTTCGGCCCGAAGAAATCGATCAGCTCCTCACTCAGATTGTAAGGCATCCAAAGTTACAAAACAAGGGAAAATGTCCCGGAAAACGATTCATCGACTTTGTGATCGAGACCGGCTACAAGGACAGGCCCAAAGTTGACGAAGACGGCAAGACAGAGTCGCCGATTCGCACCACACCATTGCACTGGATAGTTAGACGCTGGTTTAACGACCGGGACTACGTCGGAAAACTTTTTACAATATACGACAGATTCGACGTGAATTACATCGACGAGCTTGGCCGCACACACTTTCACGTGGCTTGCATGTCCGAGTGTGACTACGTAGTGAAGAAATTCTTGGAGAACGACCAGGTACAAATCAATGCCCAGGACAAGTTGGGTAATGCACCGTTGCACATGTTGTTGCGATATGAGCTCGACGGAAGAGATGTACTCAAATTGCTGCTAAGAAGAGGTGCTGATTGGAATTTGAAGAACTTGAAGGGATCGACACCTTTGCACGTTATGTGCAAATGGTCGTTCAGCGAAGAATTGGTGGAAATATTCTTCGAGGTCAACAAGAAAATCGATCAGCTGGTGGAGGTCAATGCCCAAGACAAGTTGGGTAACACACCATTGCACTTGGCTCTGGAGAGCGGCAACAAGAAGATGACCGAGTGGCTACTGAGCAGGGGTGCTGATCTAAATTTAGCCAACGAGGAAGGATTGACACCTTTCCACATTATGTGCAAAACACCCATCAACCACGATATCATGGAAAAATGGCGGACACACTGCGAGGTTAACAACGAAATCAATCAGTTGGTGGAGGTCAATGCCCAAGACAAGTTGGGTGACACACCATTGCACTTGGCTCTGAAGAGCTGCAACAAGAAGATGACCGAGTGGCTACTGAGCAGAGGTGCCAACCTAAAATTAGCTAACGAGGAAGGATTGACACCTTTCCACATTATGTGCCGATATTCCAGCAATGAGAGATTGGTGAAGATATTCTTCGAGGTCAACAACGAAATTTCTCAGCGGGTAGAGGTCAATGCACAGGACAAGTTGGGTAATACACCGTTGCACTTGGCATTGAAATCCGCGGGCCCTTATGAAAACAAGACTACGATCGAGTACCTGCTGAAAAACGGCGCGGATGCGAATCTAGGTAACGAAGAAGGATCGACACCTTTGCACATGATGTGCAAAAAAAGGTTCAGCGGCAAAGAATTGGTGGAAATATTCTTCGAGGTCAACAAGAAAATCGATCAGCTGGTAGATGTCAATGCCCAAGACAAGTTCGGTAACACACCGTTGCACTATGCTTTCAACGTCTTCTACGACACGAATTTAATCGAATTGCTGCTAAGAAACGGCGCGAATGTGAATCTAGCTAACAAGGCAGGATTGACACCTCTGCACTTTACATGCCAATATCTCAAACATAACAGTTTGAGAAAGTTGGAGATATTCTTCAAGGTCAAAAACGAATTCGACCAGCTGGTAGATTTCAATGCCCAGGACAAGTTCGGTAACACACCGTTGCACGTGGCATTGAAATCCACGGGCCTTTATGAAAACAAGACAGTGATCGAGCGCCTGCTGAAAAACGGCGCGGATGCGAATCTAGGTAACGAAGAAGGATCGACGCCTCTTCATATAATTTGCTCGAGAAGAAGGGACGATGACGTGGTGAAACTATTCTTCGAGGTCAACGACGAAATCAAACGGGTGATAGAGGTCGATGCACGGGACAAGAAGGGCCGAACCCCACTGCAATTAGCCGTGGCGAATCTTTTGCCGTTCGTGGTCGGTGTGCTCTTGGATCATGGCGCCGATCTGTCGAGCTTTATTTTTCCCGCTGAGAGTTGCTTCGCTGAGGTATTGAAACGATCACCTGTAGAGAAGATATGTATTTTTAAATCGAGAGTAGCATGTGGTGCTGTGGCTGTCGTCGAGAGACTCGAGAAAGGAGGATACGAGTTGGACCGTAGCGATGCACTGACGATCATGAAGTTGTTTGCCATTAACGGATTGTTCGGCAAGTCAGTGGATCTTGAAAATTCTTGGTACGACGACGAGACATTTGTGGAAAATGCGAAACAGATACTCATATTACTTCTCAAGCCATTAAACAGCCATCAAAGACTATCACTCTACAATCTGACTCGTTTACGACCCGAAGAGCTGGCGGCAAATCAAATCTCATATTCGCTCATCTTGATGTTTGTGAGCGAGTATGATTCGAGATTCCCGGACTATCACTCGGAGGATTGCGCCCTGCATCTGTGCGAGAAACTGTCGAGAAAATTTTTCTTGGAATGGGCGCTGGATGCTTTGCACAAGTTGTTGCACGAAAGGCTCCCAATCGAAATCTGTGTAATGATCTTGAACAATTTGAATAACGAAGATTTATACAATATTTTGTTGGCAGTTACAAATAAAACCTCGTGATGGGCATTTAAGCGCATTTGTAGAATTTTTTTACTATTACAACAAATAAATGAATTGTAAAAAAAAAAAGAGTTTTGACTTTTCCATTGATAAGCACCAAATTGTACTAATGTAATTGAGAAAAGTTAAACGCTTGAATAATAAGATTCTTCAAAATTGGCCCCGCGCGCACCTCCGGTTGAAACCTGCCTTACCGATTTCGCGCCGCGCCACATGGAACTTGCTATTTTATCGACTTTCAATGCAGCAGACTCGTGAATTATTTATGATTTCTTTCAAATTCTTATGAACAATGGGCAAGAGCCATCGGAAGAATTGCACTCGAGGTTAATGATTACAAAAGAAAACTAGATAATTATTTATGATTCATTGTTAAAAACCAATATTATTATTATCTTTTATATCGTTTAACAGTTAAGGAATATCTATGTTGATAATTTTTGTTTCTTCGTGTTTTACTGCCTTGTATGTCAGCATGCGCTTATTTACACACCTAATCAATGAAATATATTTCATATAATATATTTATATAATATTTATACGCTACGTTTCGAGAAATATATAATATTCTTGAGATTTGTATTTTTATTTTTTTTTTTCTTGTTTGTGTTGCATTATATTCGTCGTTTAATAGTTTTTTTATTCATTATACATACATTCAATTGAAAACAAATTCCAACGGTTTATTTTTTCCCGAAAAAACATCGATTTTTTTTTTATAGACGCGCGCCATATTACACACATAAATATTATATGCATACGCCATTAATTGTAAAATACGTGCTGTTGCTGTTTACATCCTCCCTTTCCTTCGTTCGGTAGCAATTGTTTTTTGTTTCAATGTTTCCCCGTTCCGATTTTAATAATGTATCTATACATGTTACGATATTTTTTTTTCATAAAGAGACGGTTGCGTAACTGGAACTGTATATCTGGTTTTGCACTCAACCGTGCCAGCTTGTTTCTTTCTTTTTTTTTTTTTTTTTTTTTTTTCATAACGAGTATTATAAGGTAAGTCATATGCGCAGAGGCTCGTTGTGTAGCTTCACACACATCCTGAATCGCAAGCATTTCTACGATGTCTTTTTTTTTGTATTTTTGCACGCAACTTTTTCAACGAAACACTACATACAACTCGTCTCTCTCTTTTTCTCTCTCTTTCATTCGTGTAGCTGCGAAAAAATTGCAACTTTTACATAACGCGCATTGCTCTGTATATGCTTCGCTCGTCGGTGGAACTTTGGACTCTCGATGTGTATATACGTGTATATTTTAATAATAATAAACGATGATGGGCCTCTGGAGATGCTCGATATCTTTCACAAACAGCTACGTATACGTCTAGTCGATTGCCTATACACCTACAAATAGCAGTTAATATTTTTTTTTTTTTTTGGTAATTCTATATGTACACGTACACTCACGCTCACTTTGTGCGTTTTACTGCGCTTACGTATTAGTTTTTTTTATTTTTCGTTTTTCGTTTATTATAATAATTTTCGATTCCATTATTAGTAGTAAAGAAGCAAATACTGCGTTGTTGAATTTCGATTTTCATTTTCGACCAGAGCATCTCCAGTAGTATACACACTAATTGTTTTTCCAGTACGAAAGGCTTTTTTTTTTGTAAATACGTATTAAGCGCACATCAGGCTCAAAATTTTCCCTGTCATTTTATGTTTTAGTCACCTGAGCTTTTTAAAAGATGCATTACTTGTATATTCATAATGATAAAACGTATATAGTGTACAGGAGTGTGTGTCGATGCATCTCGCGCGTATATATAAGACAATGTGTCGAGATTCTTTTACAATCACCGCCTCTCGATCTTTCCGCGCGTCTTCGTTCGTTTCGTTCGTTAGTTCGTTCCTCGTTTTACAATCAAATCACTCGAAATTCGGCGTCCTAAACTATAATTGCGATCACAAATTGTTTTCCTATTTAAAATTCAATTCCTTGCGTAAATTGCCATTAAAGTGTCTGCGATCGACTTTACGCGTCACACAAAAAATATCCCCGTGGTTATTTTTTTTTTTCGTTTTACATTACTCGCAACCTCATCTCAATTGCCCAATTCAATCCCGTTTATTTTCGTGCATAAATAGCTCTGTATTTTTTTTTTGTTTTGTTTCAATCATTGCATAATTAATCCTTAAGTATATTCCATTCCGTCTTTAGTAGTTATTTGCATTGTCTGCATCCCCCAAACGCTCACACACATACGTCGAGGCTTATTTCTTTGCTTTTCATTCGTGTATCGTTGATTTTCTTTCATTTTATTTGGCACTCTCTTGTATACATACACACACACGTGTCTGTGTTTTCTTTTCCCAAAAGAAAATAGAAATGTTTAGAACAATAGTCAACTTTTGTATATTTAAAAAATCGTTTAACTCTGATAATATAATATATTGGAAACTTTGAAAATGAGTAACAAACTATTCGTTAATAATCTATATAATAATAATTATCGTCGAGGCTTATCGGCGATCATCCATATATAATCAGCAATTATGGAACTATTCGAGGAATTCAATGCTCGAGTAAAAAAATCAGTATAGTTTCGTTATGATTTTCTCTGCGATTAAATCCATTGGTAAACACCCTTAAAACCTAGTTTGAAATCTTTGAAATTCTCTTATGTTTCATCAATTATCGTCGTTTTTTTTATCCATCTAAATAAATTCGGTAAGTTTTTACGCTCGATACCTAATAGTATATAAGTGTAAGTAAGTTTTGGAAATAGTGTCGCGTTACAATGTTTTTATTATTGTTTTTTTCTTTTATTTGGCATAACTCGTGATCGCGACAAAAATAACCTAATTCTCATTTTAATACCTTTTGTAAAACTAGTTTGGCAAAAAGGACATCATTAAGTCGGTGAGAAATGAAAGAGCTCGGGCGAAAATCGCGTCGCGAATTGGCACAACAGGATCGTCGTCGTCAACGTCGTCAGCAGCTTCGTCGGGGAAAACTCGCAGGTTGAAAAGGAGCTGCTCGACCTTGGATTACACACACGTAAGTTTGATTGCACTCGTTATAATTCTCCGCAAGTCTCGGGTACGTCTACGATAAGTAAGTAAGTAAGTAATAAATGGCAGTGTCGAACGGTCCGTCGTATACGGAGCGATCCGCGTATACAATATATATTTTTTTTTTTTTTTATATATATAAGATAGAAAAGGTCGTCAAGTGCTAGTGGTCGTCTCAAACGGAGATCTCCTGTATCTGCACTCGTTTCTTGGCGCTGCCCGGCGTGCCCGGCTGGCGCAGTATACCCGGACAGAGCATACCCTCGCGGGGCGCCGGCGACTTGGGCGGGGGCGGCGGCTCCGGCAGATCGTCGTCGAGCTCGCAGCCGACCGCAGCCATGGTGGCGTCGACGCAGGGCGACGGGGTGCGATTGTGACGGTGTCGCGAAGGCGGACTCGAACTGGCCGGTCCGGCCCTCACGTAGTAGGCCCGCTCGTAGTCCTGCAGCTGCATGTGGTGGTCGAGCTCGTCGAGGAACTTGCTGCCGCTGCCCTTGAGGTGGTGCTGCTGCTGTTGCTGCTGCAGGTGCTGGAGATGATGGTGGTGGGTGGTCGAGGAGACGGGACTGCTGCTGTCCGACTGCGAGTCCGTCATGACGAAGGTCGAGAGGCTGCGCTTGCTCGCCTGACTGCCGGCGGCCATGCCGAGTTTGCTCGACATCGAGCCCACCGACATGACCCCGTCCGAGCAGCCGATCTCCAGCAGGTCCTCCTTCTTCTTGTCCGACAGATTTCCCATCGAGCACTGCGATTATATATGAATGAAATTTTACAATGAAACGTTGGCCATTTTTGCGATCGAGCCGAGATTTATCGTGTAATTGTTAAGTACCGCGTGGGTCGCTTGAGCCGCCGCCGATCTGTTCTTGTCTCGCTTGTGATAGATGCCGGCGAAAATGAGGATGTTGAGCAGTAGCAGGAAGACGCCTACGGCTATGGTGACCGTCAAGGCAGTGATGTAGCTCTGATAGTGACTCGAGGCCAACTTGCGCAGCAAATTGTTCGGTCCGGGGCCCAGATTCAGGTGTGGCATATTGCTGCAAAAACCAAAACATTCCAGTTACATAGAAATCACATCCTCTCATCGACATCACTCGATCGAATCTCTCGTTACCTTGGAGTCGTGGTGCTGGTTACAACGGTACTGCTGCTGCTGCTCGCGTTGGGCGTACAATCCGTACCGGAGGCCTGGGTCGAGGCGGTCACCCCAATCGGCCCACCCCCACCACCAGCGTTACCAGAGCCACCGGGCACGTTCGACAGGCTCGGCTCCGTCGGGTAGGGCATGGGCAGCGGCGGAGCCGGTATGGGCATGGCCATCGACTGGGGCCTCACGGCGCCCTCGTACAGACTCGGGCTCTCGGCCATGTGGTGGTGGCGCATGCTGACCTCGTAGCCGGGCCTGTGCAGCTGCGGCAGCAGATTCAGCCAGAGGCTCATCTTGTGGCCCCGGTAGTGGGAGCGCATGCCGGTGTCGCGGCCCGCCTCGAGATACAGCTGATTGATCGAGTCGTACGAGTCCCAGAAGGGCGGACTGGAGACGCCGAGGTCGGCCGAGGAGGCCCAGGACGAGCCCGACGAGCCGGACGACGTCACCGAGGACGAGGACGCGGTCGCGGCTCCGTTCGGATCGCTGAAAGACGATACGTGCGAGTTATATAAATTGACAAGCTCGAGATCGAGAATAAAATTGTCATAATTTCATCAAACTCACCCCCGTCGGACAAAGTTGGCCAGATAGTGGACGAGCAGACGCGAGAGAGCCTCGTCGGCCAGGCTGTAATTGGCGTCGGCCCGCACCAGCGGCAGACCCATGAAGAAAGGCAGCTCCTCGCCCCGCAGACTGGGCCTGTCGCCCGGCTGGAAGTGCAGAAAGTAGCCGCGTCCGCCGCTGGCCGAGTGCAGCAGCGCCAACCTCAGCAGAGGCGCCGCGACCTGGCCGTCGCCCAGCAGCGCCAGCAGACCCTCGCAGATGGCCAGCGGATTGGGCTCGCCGCGCTCCCAGTCCGTGTACTCGTTGCGCAGCGTCGAGTAGATCTCGTGCAGGTGGTAGCGATAGGTGTTGCGCACGTAGGTGCGCAGGATACGGTCGCGTCGGGTCTCGTTCAGTCCGTTCTTGTACGACGACGACGATGAAAATTATTAATAATCGGGATCTAGCTCATCAATATGCATGTGTAGCAGCTTACCTCGAGGTCCTGCTCGGTAAGTTCGAGCCAGGCTTCGTCGCTCGTCAGACCCATGAGGACGTCGCGGCCGCCGAAGTTGGCCAACTCGGAGCCCGAGCCCGGCATCAACGGCATCAAGCCCGACGACGACACGGTCGGATGGAAATTCTGCGAACACAAGCAAGCACACGCACATTTGCATATTACGATTGGCTTCTATATATATATAGTTTGGGCCAACTACCATTACCCAGCGAGAAACTTCAATTAAGTAGCACGCGCAATAGCATTCCCCACCCCCCGCCTTACAAACTAGTTTTGCTTTTTTCGTTATGTTTAAAACTCACCGGATTAGTGGGCAGCGAGGCGGGCAGAATGGCGCCGTCGACGAAGGGCGCGAAGCCCGAGGTGAAGCGCGGCACGTCGAGCTTCACCCCGAGCAGCTCCTCGGTGCTCTTGGCCCGGAGACAGGCGGCGATGTCCTCGGCCTCGGGGTCCGCAGCGCCGCAGTCCAGCTGCTCGGCGACGCGTCGCTTCACCTGCAGCGGCTCGCGCTGCACCGCCCACGGTGACAGGGCCGAGCCGCCCAGCAGCACCACTCGGTCCACCAGTTCTGCAAACGACGACGACGACGAAAGATAAGAAAAAATCAAAATTGACTATACGTACAGCCGAGAGTCGGTGGATTATATACGCGACTGCGCGTCATCGGGAATTCTCTTAGGAACGCGAGAGCGAGAGCGTATCATAAAATATACAGATAGGAAACTGAGAAACGTAGAGTTTGTTGTTTGCCCGGAGGCTGCTCCTCTCCGCGCGCAGCAGCAGCAGCAGCTTAAGCGGTTTCAAACATGCGCATGGCGGCAGCGGCAACTACTCCGTGTGCAGCTTTGGCTTTACGAACAATGTGTTGCATTAAATAAAACCTCTGCCGAGGCTCTCGTATACACATAGCTGCAGCTCCTCTCTGTATGTAGCGCACGCTCGAAGAAATTCGCGGTTTTCGGAAAAAAACACACAGGCGAGCACAGCCACAGCCGACTGCGAGAAGAAGAAGAAGAAGAAGAAGTAGAAAGGCAAAAAAAGGAGAGAGAGAAAAAAATGATATAGAGCACGCGAGTGTCGAGTTTCGAAAAATCGTTACGTACGTTTCGGTATGTGTGACGGCGCTTAGCTAGGCCATGCATCTTCGGGCTGCTGCTGCTGCGGAGCTCGCCGACACACAACGAGAGATCCATATAAGCGCGCTCGCGAGAGAGGATACAATCAAAGAGTGTATCTGACAAGGCTATATGCCGTCGTCGTCGTCGTTTCGGGAGCCGCATAAACGTTATTCGATATCATCTCTTTCCGCGCGAGGACTCGAAAGAGTGCGAAAAGCAGCAGCAGCATCGCGGGAGGGCCTCGAATTTTTCCTTTTTCCTTCTTCTCTTTATTTTTTGGGTTCATCGTTTACCGCGCCTTTTTTTCGATCTTACGCTCCTCCCTTTTTTTATTTTTTATTTTAAACAAAAAATCCCAGTCAGTTCCTCTCTTTTTGGAACTTTTTATTCGCGACAAAACAAAACAAAACAACGAAAGCAAAAAAAAAAAGAAGGAAAAAAATTTGAATGCGCGGAAAATATTTGAAATACGCACGCAGTACGTACACTATGTACCGTACGTAGTCGTCGTCGCTTATAAACGAGCAAATAGGCCTTTTATAGCATTATCCGCATTCACGCAGTTACGTTACGTTACGTACCGCGTGTATATATACGGCAACCGAGAAACGTCAGTCGGATTTTTCGAATATTTTTTTGTCGAGCAACAAAAAACCGCACACGTAGCGTAGTACATAGCTGTAGGTAGGTTGGTAGGTAGGTAGATAGAGAGAGGGGAAAAAAATAAGAGAATGGGCATGCGGCAGAGCACTCAAAGGTAAAAAAAAAAAAAAAAAGAAGGAAAAAGAAGAGTTCGCAAGCTCCGCTGCTGCATATATACATCGTCGTGCTTTCCATGTACATCTCGTGGTGTATCCATAGGCCACGTTATACGTGTCTAATATACTTTCTCTCGTCGAGAGAGAGAGAGAGACGAGCGGGTGGGCAACGGGGGAGGTGTACAGGGGGCTCGGTTTCGAAGCGAAAACGCTTCACGCTGCACAGATCCCGAAATAAGAAGAAGAGGAGGAAGAAAAAAGAAAGAGAACGAAAGGAGGAGAAGACGACGACGAGAAGCCGTGAGCTACAGAGGATAGAGACGTACATAAATAAAGAAAGAAAAATCCGTGCTCCGTTCGTGTATAGAATACGTGTGGGTGTGTGTGCATAGGCTCGCGAGTGACAGTGTAAGCCGCAGCTGCAGCGAGCGCGGGAGAGAGTAGGTAGGTGGGTATAGTGCATTTTCCTCGCGGGCACAGGTTCGTTAGCGAAATGGCCGGGCCGGCGCGGCGGCGGCGGCAATCCAGGCCATCATCGTGTACACGCTCTGCACATGTGTGTGGGAGTATGTATGCATGCGAGATGCAGAGGCAGCAGCAGCTAGGGTGGTATGTATACGGGGCGCACTTTACTCCGCGCTAGCTAGCTCTCGTGCAAGCCGCCGACGTCGAGCTTGTTAAGGATCTGTGCTGTTGCTGCTGTTGCTGCTGGTGGTACGGCACGTCGCGCGTGTGTCACGCGCCTTAGAAACTCGTCGTCGTCGTCGTCCCGCGCGTGTACATAATGCTCGGCGGAGGCGCACGAAGTACACGTATGTATGTACACGCTGTGCATTAAGAGAGGCGTCGTACAATACCGCACCTTCGCGTGTCCTTGCGATTACCCAGCCCGACAGAGGATTAAAAACCGAGAAAATGGCTCTTTCTCGACCCAAAAGTATAGCGCTGTTAGATCTGTATAGAGCCATGCATGCTATGCTGCAGAGGAATAGGAGAAAAATCGCCGATCGATACTCGCACCTACTATGCGCTCAAACACACATACAGACGAGAGAGAGAGTTGCAAGTTGCAAGCGCATGAGTACGTATACAGCTGCATGCCGTGCGATGTGTACATGTACGTGTACGTGTGTGCATTATATATCCGTAGAGGCAGGCAGGCAGGCAGGCAGGCTGCACTGCTGCTGCGCAAGCTCTAATTGCAAGGCGACGCCGTGCGCGCTCGAGCTTTCCGCGATAATCCAATAATACGTACGGGATTTGCTGGTGTAGCAGCGCGCCATCACACACACATACACACACACAGACACACATACATAGTACGTAGCATAGAGCGATGCCGCTGCTTCGGAAACGCGTTAAAGCCAAAGTCTACTTGCGAGCTACACCGAGAGAGAGCTTGCAAGAGAGCTTGCGAGTCTGGCTGTATATATATTGGTTGTACATACCTTTAGCCATGGGCGAAACGGCGAGGAAATTGGCGAGGGCCGCCCCGGTGCCGTGACCCATGAGGGTCAAGCGATTCGAGTCGCCGCCGAAGGCCGGCAGGTTCTCGCGCAGCCAGTGCACGCCCGCGACCAGATCCATCAGGCCGTAGTTACCTTGGGCGCTGCTCTTTGTGCTCGTCTTCAGGAATCCTGCCGAGCATGACAAACAAATACGCAATTATTATTATTGATACGTAAAAGTCATCGTGTATAAAAAAAAAAAAAAAAATTGCGCGGAAATATGCGAGCGGCCATCTGTGCGCAACTTTGCTCCGCAATCGCTATCGTATATATACGGTATACGAATAGATATCGCGCGATATCTATCCGCGATCATCCGAGCGCGCGCACGGGCGGGTAACACGAGGATTCCACGAGGCTGCTGCTGCCGCCGCTGCGATTTATGTAAAATCAATATTTTAACGCGCGGAGGATATACGTATCGAGAGTTGCTGCTGCGTCACGCGATACCACTCGCTGCTGCACGCGTCCGTGCACGAGAGAGCTAGCGACAAAATCTCGAATCGCACATTTTTCATCAATTCGCTCGCTGCTGCTGCACGTTTGTGCGCCCCGGAGAAAACGAGACGACGATGGCCGGGGCTTTCGAGCTTAATTACGACGACGACGGCATTGCCAAAAGCGAGCAGCAGCAGCAGCTATATGTGTAGAGCGAGCCGCCTGGGCGAATGAAATAAAAAGGGAAGTAAGAGGAGGAGGGTGAAAAAAGAAAAAAAAATGACTCGATCTCTCTTTCACAATGCGCGCATGCCGACGACTCCCTAAAGAGCCGCGGCAAGATTTTTCTATTTTCGACCTATATTATACAGAGTTTTTCTTTGCCTCTTCTCGTTTGCCCTCTGTATAGGTGCACTAGCAGCAGCAGCCGCTTCATTTAAGCGGATTATACGAGAGAGAGAGAGAGAGACAATCCCAAAGTCAAATATCAAAGTGAGAAAGCGGCGCGCGTTGCAGTTGGTGCGCAGCGGCCCATCCCTACACCTATACGTTATCTATATACGTATACGCGCGTGTGTGTGCGCGCGAGGGAGATCGTTTTTTAATCTCTGCCCGACGAATCCCTTGGATTCATCAAATATGCTAATTTTCCATTTGCGGGTGTCCGAGCGCGAAATAAGTATAAAAAAATTTCAAAAATGGAGAAAAAGAACCACTCGAGCCTAAATATATCACGTTATAGCTATACCGGGCGTGCATCCCATTAACTATAGTCGAACATAAGTGGCCTCATAATTAAAACTCATTTCGCGAGGATTGCAGCTGCGAGTCTCGAAAACACACTCAGGCGCATACGTAATGTATGGCGTGCAGCGACGGCACATATTCTCCTTAAGGAGGATGTGTGCCGCAGTTGTACCAAGAAGCTGCGCCGAGCAACTTGTTTCCCAGAAGCGCGTACGTGTACTTATATCTCTCTCTCTCTGTATATAGCTGCACGAGTAAAGTTTCCTCTTTATCACTCGGGCTTTTCTGTCTCTATCTCTCTCTCTCTGTACGGTGTGCTATATAACATTGCTCATCTTCTCTCTCTCTCTTTCTCTTGCTCTCCTGTGGATTAACGCAATTTTCAATTGTCCTCGGCGCGACGCTTCGAAATTCATTAGCACCGATACAAGGAGAGCTATTTGCGCTCGGGCTCGCGACTCGCTTATAAATAGCGGGATTCGCTCTCGCTTCAAAAATAGAGGAATAATGGAGAAGAAAATAAACAAGAAGTAGTCAAAATACACGAAAAAGGACCCCTGACCAAACAATTTTAAAGATCACCTTATATACGTTTCGGGAATTTTTTTGCCACTTGCGAGTTCACAACACTCCATCTTTTGATGAAATCAAAAAGCTCATATTCAAATATGACACCTATTTGATTACGATAAATCTTATTACAATGCAAACAAATTTTGAAGTTTTAATCCTTACATTTTCTTACTAACTACGATTATCACTAGTTACTCGCTCAGTTTTTATTAGTTAACTAGCTAACTAAGAAAAATTCAATTTAAAAAATACACAATATCACACACCTGCGATGGAATTAGTGGCTCGCCTGCGAGCACGAGAAAACTTTTTTACACCCGTCGAGGGCCAGAAAAAAAAAACACCTCATTTTTTTTCCAAAGCAGAGCTCGGGCAAGATTTGCATCGACATTATTCCGACATCGATATTCAGCTGCTGCCAGCGCAGCCAAAGCTCTCGGAGTCGAGGCGAGCGAAACAACGCTAATAGCGAAATAAGAAAAGTACAGGATCAGCTAGCTCGTCGCGAGTGTGTATACGTTATATGCGCGACGCGATATATCGATTTTTTTCGCCGCGCGTTGGCGCATAATATATAAATCGGCCAGATGATCGGAGAGCGAAAAAAGGAAGCGGAAAAAGAAGCAAGAAACAGGAGATAATATCTGAGAACCCGGCCATTAGGGAAAAGCACATTTTATAATGGCTGCGTATACACAGGGCAGAGTCGAAGGGACAAAAATACACGCGTACGTAATAGCGAGTCGATTCGAGCTCTATGCGGATCCCTTATCGAGCGCGCACACATACACACGTGGTACGCGAGTACACGAGTTGTACTATATACGAGTGCTCATGCATACCTAAGTTCTTTATTTAAAAAAAGAAAACTCGAAAGGTCGAAGCTAGCGCGTCGCGCGTATAATAACGAGAAAGAGAAAAAGAAGCGGAGAAAAGCTCGAGAGATGAAAATGCTATTCGTGTGTGCGTGTGTGTTTGTTTATAGACAGGCAGCAGCAGCAGCCGGATAAGCTCGGCTCAAGCTCTCGCAAGCTCAAGCTCCCGCGTGTCGATCTCTTCTCGTGCCCGCACGCGTATATGTAAAAGGCAAGTTTAATCGAACGATAAATTATTCACGTAACGATTAAGAGCGCTGATTATCATGCAAACTAAGAGATGAGAGACAACACACATCGCGCAAAAAGAGAAGCGAGCCGCGCGCGATGACCTCACAGCCACGCTCGTCAAAAGCACACCGCTGGACTGCTGCTGCTGCACTGCTTTTTATACACTTTCTTTTCTTTATGCTTCTTTTTTTTGCTTCTTTCTCTCCTCGTTCCGACGCTGCTCTCGGTGTCGGGCACACACGAGACTCGTTCGCTCGCTTCTTTTGACGTTAGGTGTTATATGTATTACACGTGTGTGTGTGTATGCGATACGCCAAAGCTCGAGAACTCATTCAGCAGAGAGCGAGCGAGAAAGTAAGGGAGAGCGACGACCCCCGGCCGGCCCCCACCGCTCATTGATGAGAATAAAGTGCATATTGAATAATTAAGGATTCGTTGGCTGCGCACTGATGCGCCCTACAGCTGTTACTCGAACCTCCTGCGCACCGCTCGCGAGCTTGCAAGCTCTCGTTTCTTTCTTTTCTTTTTTTTTTCTCGTTCCCTTAGAAAAATGATACACTTTATGTACGTAAATATATATATATATATGTGTGTGTATAGGAGAGCGAGGGATGAAAAGAAAATGCAAGAGTCGAGGCTGCTGCTGCTGCCGCTGCAGATGAATGACTTTTTTGTAACGAAAAAGCAAAAAAAAATAGACAAGAAGAAGTAGAAGAAGAAGAAGGAGGGAGAAAAAGAGGCAGAGAGGGAGAGCGACTTCTATTTCAGAGTGAAAGAGACGTGAAATTGCAAAACTGATCATTCATGTCAAAAGGAAATGCTGCGATTGCTGCTTCAGCAATTCACTCGCCTCCTCCTCCTCCCTCTCGTCCCTCCGCGCCTATATAACTGCAACTCTCTCGTACAAGTGTGTAAGTTTCACGCAACTAAGTTGTACACCCGGCCCCCCGACACGGCCGACGCTAACAGGAGTTAGGAGAATAAAAAAAAAACACGGCACACAACTCGCAAACTCGCTCTACGCGCTTATATCTTCGACCGTAGCAAAGAACGGGATTCTTCTTTTTTTTTTTACTCTCTCTTCCTTGTTACGAGCATTACAGACTATTATAAATCATATTTTCCAAGACTGATAAAAAGATCGAGCTTTTTTTTCTCTCGACTAGTGCTATTTCGGATTTTTCCTCGGAGGAAAATGGGACAGAAGCCGTACCCTTTTTTTGCTTCTGTATCAAATAAAGTTTTTATTACATATCACACAAGTTTTCGTTCATTTGGCTATCGATATACTATTCAAATATTGTTGAAGTACGCGTTTTTTTTTCTATTTTGTAACAACGAGCCTCGTAACGAGAATAAAAAAGTGCGAGCAAGACATTCTTCATGGTGATAAGCGCGCGCGCGCGCGAAAAAAAATTTTCCCGGTAAATCAAGGATTCGCAAGTTTTCTCTTTGTGAAAACAATGATCTATTTGCAAAAATGATTACGATAAAATAATTTAAAAAGTCCGTGTGTTACGCTCTACCCCGAGCTTTCGTTCGCTCTCTCTCTCTCTCTGTGGAATGTTTGTAGGAAAAACTTTGGTATAAAAATCGTTTTCTATTCAAGAAAGGATCTGATTCGTTCCCTCGTACTCGGGCGTGAGTTAAAAAAAAAAAAAAAAAGAAAAAGAGAAAAGAGAAAAGAAAGAGAAAAAAAGAAAGAAAGAAAAAGGAAGAGAAAAGAATCAGTAAGGGATGTATGCACACACACACACATACAGCTTTATACTTGCATGTAAATACATTGAAGCTGCAGCGTTATACCCATACGTGTGCGCTCTGTACGTGAGTATATAGAAGGCAAAATGAGTGGGCTAGCTAGTGCCCACTTTATCTTGGGGCGAATGATGCACTGGGGAGAGAGCGAGAGAGAAAACTGCAGCTGCAGCCTCTTTTATCTTACTCGATTTTTTACAGATCAAGAGCCCATTAGTACACACTTGAGTCGCGCGCGCCCAAGCCTCGTATATATATACTATATGCAATTGCTCTATACGTATGCATCCCCGTGCAACGATGCATATATCGAGGCTCTGGCTCGCGCTTCGCCCACTGCACGAGTGTTTCCGCGCGCGCATCGCCGTATATATATATAGTAGCGAAAATTAACGCTCGCAGAATTTTTTTTTCATAGAGAGAGAGAGAGAGCTCCGAAGCCGAGAGAGATTTTTTTTTCTCTCTTTTCTTTTTTACTCTGACCGACAACTCCTCTCTCTTTCTCTCTCAAAGCTGGCAGTAATTGACCATTGGCTGGCGACTCTGTAAATACGTGCAGTAAACTTGGCCACGACGTCGTAGTCGCGTGCGCGCGTCTTTAGCCAGCATAGCTACGACGGCGGCGGCTCTCTTCGGGCATTTTAATTTACTCGGAAGGGAGAAAAAACAACTTTAGCATATCGAATGCGAGAGCAGCTCTGAGCGCGCTCTCGTTTTATATGGACATTTTATGAATGTCTCGGTGATTAACTGGCTCGAGTTTTCCTCGAGTGCAGCAGCAGCAATCTTTTGCTACAAATTATCGCTAATGCACTCTGATCGATGCCGAGAAAGAGAGAGAGAGAGAGAGAAAAACACACTCGAGCCGTGGGGGTAAAATTAAAAAAGCTCGACGGAAGAACATTTCCATGTAATATATGTCGCGGGCCGCGCGTGACGTAAGGATATAATTAGGAAAATGAGGCGGAATAAGAATGAAGCACGTCTTGAGAAAGAAAAGATTTTCATGCCGGAAGACAAAAGAGAGGCTCGTCGTCGTTGCCTCGAAGACTTTTTCGGTATCTTCCATCTATCTTATCTATCTCTATATGCATAGCCCGCGGTGGTAGTGGTAGATGGTGGCTTACCTAAGAGGCCGAGGCGAAAGTTGATGGATACAACGATGAGCCTGCCGTGAGCTGCCAAGGCGGTTCCGTCCAGCGGATTTCCGCTGCCCCAAGAATACGAGTCGCCGTGAATGAGCAGCAGCGCTGGCAGCAGATCCTGGCCCGCCGCGCCGCTCCCTGCCAACAAACAACGCGCATAAAATATAGATATATCCATCGCTCGCTATTATAAAAAAAAAAAAAGTACGCGCGAGCTTGCGACCATTGTTTACGCGATATATAAGAGATTCCACCTGCATTATATATTGTTGTTGTTGTCGTTGTCGTTAGCTCGCGAGCGTGTATGTATGCGGACATCGATCGAACGATCCCGAAAATATGTATTCGCGTTTTAAGCTCCGCAAGCTCTGTATATGTATGTATGTACTTTGAGAGAGCAAAAATTGACCCTTTTAACCTAAATAAAATGTGCCCGCCTTTTCCGCAAGCGTACGTATATACTACTGCTAGATAGTAAACCGTAACGTAACTGCACCGCACGGACTTGCCGATAGAGACACAGGATTCTGTCTCTGTGTATGCACCACTACTCCTGCAACGGGTCAATTCGCCCAGGGCGCACATTGTCATAATCTTCGTTTTGTGCAAGCTCCTCTTCTTCTTCTTCTTCTCCTTCCTCCTCGCTCTATCTCTTCCAGTAAGCGAATTTCATCTCCTTCAAGACGAATCCAGCCGTGTAGCAGCGACACGGCGTCACCTCACTCCCGCGGTGCTTGCAGATATTCAAATGACTCGCTCTCCTTTCGATCGACTGGGCCCCCCCGGTACTCATATAATATATAAATTTTGATCATTATTATTATTATTTTCCCGGTTCGTGGGCCACAGCCAGTCATCTGGCGGAAAACGAGCTTCGATTAACTCTCACTGCAATGCACTACGGAATTGAAGTCACACGAGCGTGTCTGTTGTTTTCGTGAGCGATGCTTCCCCAGCTCTTCTTATTCTTGTCTTAATTTTACAAATTCTCGCTTACACAAGATAGTAAACTATCCGTCTGCGCGGCAGACATACATATTACATTATAAACTTACGTCGCTACGTGTTACAATTTTCATGCGGTGGTGAGCGTAAAATGTGGAGCACGTCGCGTACATCATAATATCGGAGTCGTCCTTTCTCGCAGCCGCAGCCGCAGTAGTAGCAGCAGCAGCTCTTTCGCTACCGCGTACATATAACTGCCAAAGGGGAACCTGCTCTATTTAGCGTGAAAATCTTATCGCACACTCGGTTATATGTAGACAGACACATACACACAGACAGACATATATATATATATTATATATATAGGTACGGAGATCGAGAGTTGTGCAGCTAGCAGCATGTGACTCAGTTTGCGCTCGCGAGTGTGTGTGTACGTGTGTGCGATATCGCCCCGGGACTCTCTGACACTTCGAAATGGGGCGTGTGCGCATTCCGGTCTACATTCTTCGTATATACATATAGATGTGTACAGCTCTTGAGTTGTGTTACGAGATGCGGCGGCGGTGGCGGCGAGCAAGCTAGCAGCAGCGCACGAGGCTGCCAACACACACACACTCGCACACACACACATTTATATACACATTCGCGCTTGCACACATTCACGGAAACGCGTGAGACTGCAAGAGCTGCGACGTCAATTTTTTTTCTCCTCCTCCTCTTCCTCGAGCGCGCAAACATGCAAATATATTTAACGAGAGACTCTCTATCTCTCGCTCGCGCGCGAAACTTTTGTCGAGGGTATAAATGAAGGCGCGCGTCCTTATATTTGACTGCATAAACATCATCGCGCTCATTGTTTTGTTCGCAGCTCGGCTCGGCGTATGGGAACAATTTGTTAATTATTCCTTGCTTATACAGCGCGGAAACGAGTGCGCAGAGAGAGAGAGAGAGAGATGCAGTATCGACGCGCGAGCTTTTTTGGGGAGCTTTCGCGCACGCACACAAAAAACAATGAGGCGGTGGGGCGAGCACAATCGACGAGGGCAGTGCAATATTACGTATAGTATACAGTAAGCAAATTCATTCCGGCTGAATCGTTGCAGTTGCTGCCCTCCGCGCGCGCGCGCGAGTGTACGTGATAATTATTACGTAATAAAAGCCTGCTGCAGCTTTGCTTGCCTCTCTCTCTCTCGCTCTTTTCTGTATTATAATAGTTGCTCAACCCGAGTACGTAGCAGCAGCAGCAGCAGCTCGCCGAAAATTCCGACGAGGAGCTGAAAAGTTTTCCAGAGCTAGCAGCGAATAACTTGCATATTAAATTAGCACTACATGGCAGGAGAAGAAGGGCGAGAGCGAAAATATAAGTGCACGAGTTTACTATATAATACGCCTTTCTCGTCGAGTACATGTATATAATTTCATTACAAATGTTTCACATGACTTATAAAGCTCGCCTTCTCTTCTGGCTGTAAGAATTATTCTCTCTCTCTCTTTCTGTTCTTTCTGCTGCTGCTGTTGCTGCTGCTACTACCAGGCACCTACTACCTTATTAAATTGTACTAGCTGCATGTCTAAAAAAAAGAAAAGAAATAAAAGAAAAAAAGTAGGCAGTACAGCGGTGGCGGCGTGGCACGGGCGCATTTATATCTTTGTAATATTCTCACATTTCACAAAATGCTTATAACGCCGACGGGGGTGGTGGTAATGTATGCCTCGACAAAAGTCCCGAACAATAAATCTTATTACTGCGCGAAATTTCGTAATTCAAATTTATGCGCCCGCGCACTACTGGATGTGTGCTTGTGTGTGTACGTGTAGGCGCGAGAACGATACATCACACGCGCACACAGAGACACACTTTTCCGTGTGTGTTCACACACGGGCTCGTCTCATCGAGCTTGCAAGCTCCGGCTCGCAAAAGCTCGAAATTGCGGCTTGTACAAAAGTCGCCACGCGGGTTAATTAAATACAGCAGCAGTAGCGGTAGTGGCGGTGGTGGTGGTAGCTAGTAGCTATGTAGCAGCAGCGGTGGGACTGAGAAAGAGATAAAGCACGCGACAAACAGCGATGCATCGCAATTATAACGTGTAAACACGGTACGCGTTTCGCATTTGCACGTAAAGTACGAAACGAAGTCTAATTTTTTTTCTCTCTTTATTTCTTTTTCTCTTTCTTTTTCCCTCCGCTAGCCGACATTTTACATTTAGTAGAGTATGTTTTTATTTGCCAGTAGCTATCCCAAGCCGCAAAAGCTCGTGTACCACTGGTGCGCCGTGCTTTGTGACTTGTGCTGACCTTGACATTCGTGCTCATACACACACTCACCCATACTCACACGTGTAATTAATGCGCACATCCTGCAGCACGAGCTCGGGTATCGATTGCGCATACAAGCGCCATATACGTCATGTAAACAAAGCTGCAGTCGATGAGAGAAGTTGCTGAGCATATATATATGTGAACGATCACTCACCGTGATGAGACGAACCGGCGCTCGCCTGCTGTTGCTGGTGCTGCTGCTGGGCCGGCTGGGCGGGCCTCACCGGCACGTACAGATTCAGGTAGAGGCAGTCCTCGCTCTGGTTGGCCAGCATCGGGCCGAGCCGCTCCAGATAGCGGGCGTACTGTCGCGGCGTGTCGGGCCCCGGCCTCGGCGGCAGCTGCGGACAGGCAGGCGGATAGGCGTCCGCCAGCCGAATGCCGCGCCAGGGCGAGGGCGTGACGGGGGGCATGAAGCGCAGCGCCCCGAGCGGCGGCGTGGCGTAGGGCACGCCGAGATAGACCTCGACCTGGCTCGACCTGGAGTCCGCCGCGCGGGACACGGTGCCGCGCAGCTGGCCGTAGCGCGTGTGCACCTGGCGCGTGCTGTACTTGCTGGAGCCGCCGCCGCCGCCGCTCGAGACCGATTGCGGATTGGCCGGGGCGCAGGCCCATTGCAGCAGCAGCAGGACCAGTAGTAGGTGCCAGGCCGTCGAGCCTCTCCTGCTGCTCGTCCATGACGAGGCCCGCTGTTGTCGCTGATGTTCCTTGGATCCTGTTGATGTTAAAAATGCACGATTAGCGATGATAAAAATTTTACTCCCATTATCATCTAGGTCGAGAGCAAACTGTATCGAGCTTCAATATTCCGTTATAACCGGATAAAAGCTCGAACGAGCGCTGGGGGGGTGCCGCCGGTTAACCGATCCACATTCGAGGTGCAGCTGTACGCCGCACACGGCCATTCATAAACGCGCGCTAATACGTGTGCGGCTGACATTTCCGCGGTCGAGCTGCCCTCCTCCTCCTCCTCCTTCTCAGCTCTCCCCCACGCCGCATATCGATACGTATATAATACTCGATTATTGACGCGAGCCGTGCGCGATAACACCAGCCCCTATACCTCGTGGTCTCGCTGTCCATTACCGTGCTATATAATATTTGCACTCGGATATGCTGTATACACGAAAAATTAACTCCGCATATACCTGCGCGCGAGTGTGGCACGGGAGAGTGAGAAGAAAGTCGAACGCGAGAGGTCGAGCTTACGCGAATATGGCGCACCTGTTACGCTCTTTCGAGTCTCTCTCTCTCTCAGCTCTACTGCAGTCTGTATCGTCTCTCTCTCTTTCTCCGCTATATATATAGGTGACGAGCAGCAGTAGATATGCGGCCTGTTGTCGAGTACATATATATACACAGCGACGAGAGCCGCGATCAATCGAATCGACCGAGTCACTCTCCGGGGGATGCTTCGTACGACGAGCTCTATACGTTATACAGCGCACGTTCGCGTCGTTCTCTCTCTCTCTCGGTCCTTTAGGCCTCTCTCTCTCTCGCTCGCTCTGCGTCTATCTGGACGCGCTGCAGAGGACAGTGCGGTGCGCGGTGCAGTGCAGCTTTCGAGCACGCGGCGACGCTGTATAGTGGCGGTAATTATGTGTAGTTTCGACCGCGCTCGTACACACACACACACACACACGGGCCCGTGGGGTCACTCGTATATACAATACATACATCCAATTTTCATGCTGTTATTGTAGCCGCAGCCTCCGAGCACCACCAATACAGAAGAAAATAAACGCGGCTAAAAGTCGAGCCTCCGTTATTATTATTATTATATATATATGTGTACGTGTACACTCGATGGCAGCAGCTCTCGTGCGCTGTGAGAGAGAGAGAGGCCAATCGTTTCGAGGACGAAATTAGGAGTACAACAATGAGAGCAGCTCTCCTATACCACCCCTACACCCTCTTTCCCCTACTCAGCTGCTGCTGCTGCTGCAAGCTCACGTACATGTAGATATTGCCTATGAAATCGCTTCATTTACGGAGCTATTCAAAAGTTCGCCAGTGGAAAGAACCAAGTTCGGAGGACGACGACGACGGCGGCCTATACGTACTAACTGGAATGGCAATAATTGAGTGAAAGAGAGAGAGAGAGAGAGAGAGAATGGCGAGAGGAAGAAAAAATAAAGCAATTGAAATAAACCGAAAACTAATGGCAAAGTAGGTCTGCCAAAGTTCATCAAATCGATTCTCGCTCCTTTTCTCTGACTTTCTCTCTGTCTTTCTCTCTCGCAGAGTCACCGAGTTATAACGAGTGCCTGCTGCAACTCGATTCCGCTCCGAGTTCTGGATCTGTCACCCAAGAACGTCAACTTATTAAAAGCTCGCCTGCATTTTAACGCGTCCGCGTATAGTGTATCGTGTACGGTATATATTGTTTTTCGTCGTTGTTGTTATTGTTTTTTAGTCACCGGCGAGCTTTATTCGACTCGCCACATTGTCGTCGTCGTCGTCGTCGCGTGCGAAGCGGAACTCGTTATCGCCCTCGATATTAAATCGGCGCAGTTCATCTATATATATGCTGTTGTATAGTATACGTATCAATATGTATACGCCGTGTATTGCTGCAGCAGCAGCAGCAGCACTTGAAATGTATCGAATCGCGCGCAACGTATATATAACCGAGAGGCGAGCGATTATTCGTCGCGCAAGCTCGTACACACACCCACACACAGGCGACCATTGTATGTATAATGCATGTGCATGTGTACGTACGAAAAAAAAAGCGCAGTGTTGGCACGGGGACTTCTACTACTACTCTTACTGGGCGATGATAAAAAGCACATTTTTTACATGTTTTTACGCGCGTGCAAAATTGGAATTTCACGTCCGGCGAAGCCTCGTGCAGTACTACTCTGCGCGCGTCTGGGGGGTAGGGGGAGGCAAAAGCGAGTTATTTCCATTACAATACTCCGATCTCTCTCTCTCTCTTTCTCTCTGCAGCAGCAGCAGCAGCAGTTGTGTATTGCTCGTGAGCACTGCAGCCCCTCGAGAAAACGCGTCGACTTTATCAGCTGCTGCGCCGCGCTGGCTGGCTGCTGCTGCTACTCTGCTGCTGTGTACGACTGCAGGAGAGATAAAAAAAAATAAAAAAAAAAATATATATATCCACGCGCCCGTACGCAAATGCGAGAGTGAGAGAGAGAGAGAGAAAGAGCCTGTATAAGTGAGAGATGAAAGCGAGCAGCTCGCCTCGTGCCTTTCAATGGCTGTGTTTCTCTCTCTTTTAGCCCAATGTATATAGTATATACGTGTGCCATGGAGCTTTTTTTCGACCGAACGCAAGCTCTGCGCGCTTGCAAGGATATTTTTGTCTATGCGATACGCTGCTGCTACTGCTATATAGTCGAGAACGAAGCCGATACATATTTTTTTTCTTTATATATTTTTTATATATAGGTGCAGGTATGCGATACGCGCAGGGATTCGGATTACTGAGCCGCAATATATATAGAAAGTACTACATAACGCATGGCTTTTTGCTGCTAGCTCTCGGTTTTTTTCTCGTTTTTTTTTTTTTTTAATTTTCTCATTCGCAGCAGCAGCAGCGGCAGCCGCGACCGTGCGTGCAAGTGTCTCGGTGTGCATGCGGGCTTAAAGCGACACACTAGCACCACCGGTTTTTGGGACGTATGCCTTATATAATACACAAAAGCTCGTCCGTGTGCTGCTATTTATACGGCTGAACATCCTCTCATCCTCATTGTTTGATGTTAAATATTTGCTCCTTCCCTCGTCGGTCTCTCACTCACTAACTCTCTCTCTCTCTCTCTCTGTAGCGGGCGGCGCACGGGCGCCTCTACCCAAGCTCGCAAGCTCTCCCCGGCTCCTTCCGTACTATTATGAATGTACGTACGTACCGTAGCTGTACGTACAAGTTAAAGCTCGAGTACAGCTACCTTTGGCTCTCTGCACACATTACGCGGCATTATATGTATTATATATTACGCGGTGCATATACGTCGGCCATATGCGTGGTTTAAAGTGTGACACGAAGCAATTCGAGTATACGAGAGCTAGATATATATATAGGATAGAGCATGGAGCTTGCGCGCCACGATCGAGCTTTTCCTTATCCCTTTTGCGCTTGCACGCGTTATATATCGTACCTACGTACGTAAGCTCCGAGGCGCGCTCGAGCTATGCGGCAAAAACGATGGCTGGTAATTTTTTAAAAGCTCGCCAGTTAACGAGCTTTTTTGCCCAGCAGCAGCGAGGCTCTCCCTCTGTGATGCTGCTGCTGCTGCTGGCACGCGGCTTCGAGCTGCGCTGTGTAAGTGTGTAACCGAACGGGCTAATTAGACGCCCCCGAGAAGCAGCTTCGAGTGTCGTGTCGTGTCGTCGTCAGTGGAGGCGGCGGCGGCGGCAGCAGTTACGGCGGCACTGCGCGAGCTTTACTATACAGGCATGCAAGCTGCTGCTTCTGTTGCGCGGGCTCTAATGACAACGATCTCGCGAGCTAGAGCTAGAGCTAGAGCAGCAGCAGCAGCAGCAGCCGTGGTCGAGTACCACGTATATATATAATACACGTCTCTGTCTGGCGTGCAAGCTCGCACGAGATCGATGCGCTGCACAGAGCCTCGACGCGACGCGCGAAAGATTATAAATAAGATCCGCTGGAAGGCCGCTGATGATCGCGATGAAGACGCATGGAGTGGTGCGCGGTGGAGAAGTGGATAATACGTCAGAGCGCACGAAGCTTATAGGTATAGGCGTCGAATGGACTTGTTTCGCACGCGATGATGACATTGCGACTCTTTGGATTTCATATATATACCATACTCTACTACTCGCTCAGCTATATATACATTCGTGTGTACGCTGCGTGGCTGCAATGCGCGCGAAGCGAGCAAGCAAGAAGAAGAAGAAGTACATCTAGGAGGTTAAAAGGATGACGATGAAGAATCGTGCGTGTGCGCTACTTCTTCGTTCCCGCAGCAGCATCAGCAGCAGCAGCAACAGTATAGCAGCGTTGCAAGGGAGAGAGAGATTCTCTCTATATAGTGCACACAAGTAGTAGAGCGCGAGCTTGTGTGTGCGTGGGTGGGCGCGAGCGAGTAAGCGCGCGCGCGCGCAAAACCTTCCTGTGCTGCTGCTGCAGCCTCTCGCTCTATATATGTACGTGTATACATACATACACTTGGCCCCCCCTACGTGTGTGCCTATATACTACTTCTAACGCGTTTGCACACACACACACACACACACGTATATACCGACGTAGAAAGAGAGAGAGGCTGCAAAGACAGAAGTGTAGCTCGCAGGCTCTCGCTCTAATTACTTTTTCTTCGGCGCGCTCACAGGCTGCAGCACAGAGAAAGAGAGGCACACTGCTTTTGCTGCTACCGCTGCTGCTTGCAAGCAAGAGGCAAGCGAGCGAGCGCGCGTGTACGTGCCAGGCGCGAGTATATTTATTGTTATATATGTGCATGGCGAGAGAGAGAGAGAGAGCGAGGGAGAGAACCAGAGAGTAAGAGATACGTGCCGCCACCACCACCGCGTGGATCCGCGTACTCTACATTATATTATATGCGTGCGAAAATACTATCTCGTCTCGTTGTTGACGTGTGCAGGCTTTTTATTATTATAATAAAAACAGATCGTTATGCGATGTATTATACTCACTCGACGATGCTGCTGCTGCTCCTCCTTTGGTTGACTGCTCCGATTTGACTGATGCTGCTTCTTTGGCACAATAGTAGTTACGATTATAGGGAAATCGTTCGGACGAGTAGTACTTGACGACGAGTAAAAAAGACGACGACGACGACGAGGAGGTGGAAACCGAGCGAGGTGCTTGAAACTGCATGTCGACGGGATGCTGCGATGCTGAGAGGGTGGCTTCGGCCTCGTCGTCGAAGAAGCGGCCCCGGGCGCCGGGGCTCTCGCCGCCTCGGGCCCCCCCGGGCGCATAATATCCTACGCCGCTCCAGCTGCTGGCACGATTACCGCTGTCGTCGCTGCCGTCGTCTCCTCTTCGTGCCGACGACGACAATGACGATCCTTCGACGCCGCCACCGCCGAAGCTTCGCGGGCTGCAGCGGCGGCAGCGGGCCAGCAGCGACAGCGACGAGCAGCAGCTTTCCTCCTCCAGAGTAGCAGTAGTGGTGGGCCAGTGCACCAGCTGCAGCCGCTCTGGTCGCTGCAGTCCTTGTCGTTGACGACGACGACGACGATGTTGTGGCTCTTGGTAAGGCACAGCCTCCGCATGGCTGCCGCTGCTAATTATTACTCCCGACTCGCGCGGCACCAGCACTTTATCGTCGTCGCTGAGCTTTTTTTTTGAAAAAAAAAAAGCTTCTTACCCGTGTGCGGAAATTTTTTTTTTTTTAAGGTCTACGAGACTCTCTACTGGTGACTACGGGGACAAAGACGACGACTACGACGACTCAACATCGGCGCTGCTGCACTTTTGATCCTGTTTTCACTGTTTCGCCAGTCGAGCTTGCAAGCTGTGCACAAGAAGCGACCGGCCGCGTATATACTTATTTATCGGACGTTCGAGCTGCGAGTGGTGTCTAGCGAGAGAGCATGTGTGAGTCGTGCCAGCGAGAGAGTAAAAAGAGAGTTCGTGTCTAAGAGCGTGTGTGCGTGTGTGTGTGTATGTTGTTGGACGCGGCGCGAGGGTGGTACGTGTGTGCGCTGCCTGCAGCAGCAGCAGTTGCGGGACGCAGTGTCCGTCCAGTGTTTAGCGCGTCGCTGGGGTTGCTGCTGGCTGCAGCGATGGTCTACTCGCTCGGAGGCTCCCGGGCCGACTGCGACGCGAAGGGCTGCCAGCCAGCGGGCTATATACCTTCGCGAGTCCCGCTGCTGGCCAGAGAGTTCCAGCAGAGCAGCGGCGGCGGCGTCACGTTCTCTCCCGCTGACGGTGGTGGTGGTGGTGGTGGCAAAAGCGCTGCCTGCCTTATACAACGCTGTGTTGTGTGTGTGTGTGCACTGCGCACGGCGGCACGAGCTTTGCGTTGCGCAAGCGTATGAAAGCACTACCATAGAGTCATGTACATGTGTGTGTACGGTGTCGCCGAACGCGCGCCGCGCCGTGCAATATGCAGCAGCAGCGGCAACCCCCTTCGTCCGCGCATATAAAAGGATCGATAGACCATCGTAGCTGCTCGCGAGCTTTACGTGTGCAGCGCAACCCCCACCGTTATATAGCAGCAGCCACCACCGCTGCCGCTTACCCGAGACAAACAGAGACTTGGACTGCTATGCGCGATATATATTTTATAGCGAGCGCATAGAGAGAGAGAAGTGCAACTGCGACGTTGTAAGGGGCCCCGTATAATCTATACTATATAAGCTGCATACACACACATTGACGCACGACTTGGACCTTCAAGACGCCGCTCGAGCTTATAACGACTCCGCTAGACTACTAGACTACTATAATATGTGCGTGCGAAGCAGCTCTCCGACTACTCTATATACTCTATACGGAGTGCGCACGGCTATAATCTCTACCCATAGAGGAGTAAATCGCATTTCAGCAGATGCCCCGTGCCATATAGAGCTCTCTGTGTATATTATACGAAGCCTCGATGAGTTTCCCCGCGCGTGTAATGTAGCAAGTTCGATACAACCTGATATACAGATATACCGACTGTGTGTATATATCAACGCGTGTACCGTAGCAGCGCAACTTGTGTGGCTGCTGCTGTTATGCACGCCGTATAATATACTCCCACGCACCTATCATTATCATCATCATCATCAGCCACCATCGAGCTTTATAATACGCCGATGGGCACTTTTGTGCAAGCCGTGTATATGCATCGATGTTTTAACTGCCGATGAGTGCCACGGGCTATATAGCTGCTGCTGCACACGTACATTAATACTCGCCACACCGCGAGATTCAACGACCGCGATGATTGCCATATTCTCTCTCTGCTGTACGACACGTAGTGACCAAATTCGTCCTCTACACGCATCGACATTGTACTTTCATTAGCGACTTTTGAAGCGTACGCTTCTGCGCGCTGATCTCGAGCTTTTTTGTAAACACACGAATCGCGTGTGTAATGCGTGCGTGCGTCAATCGTGCGCGGGTATAGTAGTTCACCTCGTGAGAAAACGAGGATAATCTTCGAGAGATCTTCGCCGCTGTAAGATATTCGGGTGTGTGTTCGTGTGCTCAACGTTTTATCGAAAACACGAATCGAGGCGCCAGCTCGCCTCGGATATTTAAAGATTCAAGATAAGACTGTAAATACCGATCGACTTATAGCTGAGATTGACGTTTTTTGTATTTCATTGACTTTATCCGTGTGTACGTATACGTTGATCATAGCCCCGTGCGTCGGAGGCGCGGAAATCGGTTCAAAAACAGAGATGAGAAAAATTGGGAAACTTTGCGCTCATTAACGCTCGAGCTAATTGAGCCGCGAACTAGGGGATGGCTGAAAAAAAGTTGGACGCGACGCGCGCTCCAACTTTGACGCATAGTTGAATAACAGAAAAGTAACGACTCGCGCGATCGCTGATTTCGTGCGCAGCGCGAGCCCGAGACTTTTCGACAACTGCGATTATCTCGTAGTCGTAACTTCTTGGGATATCTCTCGACTGTATATAGTACGCATTCGTTTTCCGAACGGCTGTATAACGATGATTGAAAGCCGGCTAATATTTTGCTTTTTTTAGACTTGCCCGCGCGAGCGACAATTGCACTGCTCCGCGAGAGAGAATCTTTGCTCTGATGATTTACACGCCGCTCGCGCGAACGCGGACATCATTTACGTCAAGCGAGAAAAGAGGAAAAAAAATGAACCGAGACCAATCATCGGGCCGTCATCGCGTGTAAGTATGCATACGTACGTACACACACAAGCTGCCGTTGCTGCGATTATTGGCGTGTGTGCGCGTTAACACATGTTGCGCGACTTTTCATCGTGTAACAATGCGCCGTGTATACGCAGTCGACGGCGATCAGTTTTTCGAAAAAGGAAAAAATCTGCGAGCTATTAACGGGCGAATTAGCAGGCGGTGATTCCTATTCCGCTCGCGTACGTATATACGTACGTATATGCTATATATAATAGGTGTGTAAGGTCGGTCGCGCTTTTGAGCCACTGGTCTTACGCAATTTCTCGCGTGGCCAGCAGCAGCAGCAGCAGCGAAATAAAAAAAATAGATAAACGGACTGATTATCGCGAGATATGATACCGCTCGCGTCCGCCTACGTTACATTTTCACGGGCTTCCTTTCCGCGCGATACACCGCTGCTGCGTGTTTGATTATTTTTGAGCGAGCGAAGATCGTTTGTTGCCGCGCGGCGTATAATGTTGGGAGCCTAGCTGTCAGTGACCCATCGCTGCCGAGCTAGCTGTAAGTGCGCAAATGCCAGCGCAGTTTATGTAACGATCGCGAGTACATACGGGCACGTGAGACAGAATAGTATACGTACACACGACTGTAAATATCGCGCCGCGATCCGCAACGACGATTTTGCCATGTATGCACAATGTTATAATGAGCCAAATTGCGAGCTGCTCCATGAAGTCCCATAATTCTCGATTCGTGCGCTGCGCTTTTGTGCCATTTCTTTCTCTGCGAATTCATCTCTTGTATATATTAATATATTGTATACGCAGAACACAATCGACGTGACCTGAAAATTATAAAATAAGAAAATTGCCCGAGCGTATATGCATTTTGTCACGGACCAAGAGAGCCATGCCTCTAGGCCTATACCTGCCATCGAGAACGTACGTACTTCTGCTTACGATATGGAAGCAAATGTTACACGCGCATAAATATTATTTGGCGAAAAAAAAAAAACTGGTTTTGCCACACCGTGTATACGGCTGCACGTGGGCCAGTGTGTGCCGCTGATCGCACAATTATTACATCCGATAACGAATAGTACACATAATACAGATCGCAGAACGGCTACCTATGTACATATATACGAAGTTGCGAGTCGGTCGCAGTAATACCTGTGATTAATGTACCATACGCGACGACGGGTGCGCAGAGATTGGGAAAAAACCGCTCGGTAAATATCTCTAATGTTTATTATACACGGCTCGGCGCTGTATATACAACTAAATGCGTAGTCACGTGAAGGCGTTGAAAATCACATGGGGGACCGGGCACCGGCCTCACGTGCTCTCTCTCTCTCTCTCTCGATGTAACATACATAGCACTATGCAAACACATCGGAGCACGCGAACCCAAGAAGCTCCGAGGCAGAAGCAGGAGGAGGAAGAGGGGCAAGTAAGTGAGAGAGCGTCGAAAAAGAGTGAGAAGGGCGCGGCGACGACGATTGATAATACATACATCGCGCGCGAGCGTATATCAATAGGCGCAACTCGCGACAATAGCTCGTAGTCGTGTGCGTACAACGAGTTAATAGGCCTGCGTGCGCCATAGGTGTTACAGGCACGAGAGCTAACAAGCAGCAGCAACAGCTCCCCCACCTCCTCGACTCGACACTCGTTCACAACGCCTCGGGTAGCACAGCAGAAAACAGAGATTGAAAGAGAGAGAGAGAGAGAGAAAGAGAACAATTGCTAACGCGTATAGAGTGGCGCGGACCGATCGGCGATCGGCAGTTGAAGCACGATAGAGCACTCGAGTAGATACGGAGAGTGCGAGGAGCACTGACTGACTGTCTGCTGCCACCCGATAAACGAGAGTGTGATCGTTGTATATCGTAATCCACACCGATCTCTCGGATACCAGTTTTATACCGGTTTATTGTAATTGTCAAAAGTGTGCGAGAAAGAGAAGAAGAAGAAGAAGAAAGAGTGAGAGGATGATTAGGAAGTGAGATCGGCCACGTTTTAATCCGTACCCAACGACGACGACGAGACTCGCTTTTGAAAATTCGTCCGCGAGCCAAGGAAGCTACGGGATGAAGGGCAGCGACGCGACCCTCGACGAGGTGGCTCTCCACGAGAACGGTCACGCCAACGGCAACAGCAACAACAGCAACGGCAACCAACAGAACGCCAACGGCAACGGCACCACCACGGCAGCAGCAACGGCAGCAGCGTTGAACAACGGCACGAGTCACGCGCACGTCAAGCACAGGCGAGTATCGATAAGCGAGCAGCCGCACGAGTCCCTGAACGGGGGCACCATCAGCACCATGATCGGCAACGGCGGTCTCGAGAACGCCGCCTACGATCACGGCGGCTATCATCACGATCACGACGGCAACATCGTGCTGACCGTGGGCCCGCAGCGCAAGCGCTCGATCCTGCACGGCTCGACGAGCCACAGCGTGCCGGGCAGCTGCGAGAATCTCCACAAGTACGGCGGCGGCCTGTACGGCAACGAGGACAGCTCGTCGGCCAAGCACTACTTCCATCACGGCCATCAGCAGCAGCACTTTGTGAGCGGCGCGCCCCATCATCACACGCTGCACAGGAAGCGATCGGCCTTCAGCCTGACCAGCTCGCTGCGCGAAAAGATCGAGTACTCCGAGGAGCTCGAGAGGTCTGGTTTAAAGACAACTACACAGCACACACGAAACTGCTTTACTCCGCTTTGCTTTTTATACTACTACTTCTGGACTAGCTCAAAGACCTTTCCCGCTCTCTCTCTCGCGCTCTGCACTTTTTTAATTTGTTATACGCACCTTCTCACTACATGTTTATAGTATAGCGCTTGCAGCGAGCTTGCGAGCGTACCTTGACACGCGTCACTTGTATTCACCGCGGCCATTCAACGTGATATTATATACGTTGTCGATGAATCTTTGGCTGCTCGCGATCGGACTGCGCGATAATAACAATTCGAGATTTTTCGCGCTTCCGACTCCGATAAGCAGCTGCTACTGACATCGTCGAGTGTACTGAACGAAAAAAATTGGCGTCCGATCGAGCCTCGAGATCGCGACGACCGATCGATATATATACACGAGAGATCTCGATAAGCCCGCAGCCCGAGAGATAAGACAATTCGTGTATCGGGGTACAGTCCATTCCGCAAAAGTACACACGGACTTGATCATCATCATCGGCGTGGCCGTCAATTTGTCACGATCATCATCATCATCATCATCATCATCATCATCATCGTCGTCGCATTGCCACTTTCTCATTCTTGGGCGGCGTTGATGCGCGATCGATTTTTTAATTCAAGCAGCAGTGGCAGCTCTTTAAGCATTCAGGCCTTATACACTCGCCGCGGACGGACGGACGGACTGCTTGTGCAGCGGGGGGCAAGTGCGAGGCTATAGCCTTGCCGATTTAGTATTAGTGCGAATCTATAGACTCGTCGCGTCGACTGGTGTGGCGCGTGCATTGATCCGCACTTCCGATGTAAATGTGTATTTGTGTGTTGTGTGTACGCGTGTAAAGCCATGGACTGCTGCACTAAAGCTCGCTTAATTGTCCAACTGTGTGTGTGTGTGTGTGCGCGTGCCATCGTTCATGTTAAAATAATAGGTAGAGTAGTCAGGGCTCAGTCGTGATGCCGGCGGCATGTACGACGCGTCAGGCTGCTGCTGCTTGCCGACCACCACCACAACCACCAGCCCAAACAGCCAAAACTGTCCAGATCGACTGCTACAGTGTCCGACTTCTTTCAGATCCTGGCTGTACCTGTTCTGCACGCGCTGCCACGGTCGCGGCGACCCGGACGCCTGGGAGCCCACCGGCTGGAAGAAGGCATGCCCGGCCCCGTTCTGCCCGTCGTATCGCAAGTTCGCCCGGGTGCTGTGTCTGCTGCTGCTCGGTCTGCTCCTGTGGGGCGTCGTCTACTCGATCGCCGGGCCCGACGCGGCGCCGGGCGGGCCCCTCTTTGGCCTCGCAGCCCTCTGCATCGTGGCCCACTTCGCCGGATGGATCGTGTCGCTGTTCAACATGCCGGCGCTCATCGGCATGCTGCTCACCGGCATCGTCATGCAGAACACCAATATGGTGAACATCGAGGCGTCGGGCGCGTACAAGCCCTACATGCCGCTCGTGGCCAATCTCAGGTGAGAGGCACAGGAACTGAAAATTCTTTTAAATCGCTTTATAGGATTTATTTTTATACATAACGTAGAGCTATTATGCCGCGAGAGAGAGCGAGAGTATACATAATACATATCGATCGGCAGTGACATTAGCCGTGAGAAAAGCTGCGAGCGTTTAATTTTTAATGCTCTCCTCGTAGCACGCACACATACACACACTAACGATATATAAATATTTGCCTCCGCGACGAGCGGCTGGACATCGGGTCGCGATCGTTTCACTCGTATCTCTCTCGATTCTCGATCTGGCTCTCGAGCGCGAGACAATTATATATAGCTCAACGCGCGCATATTTGTATAGAGTGTTTGTATACAGGTATGCATCGTTGCAGGAACTTTTTTTTGTTGTTTGCATCGCTCGCGAACGCTTAACAGTTGAATAAAATTGCAAAATTCATGGAATTTCATATTCACATCGAGGCCGATAGCTGCTGCCGCCGCCGCCGCGTGTGCAGCAGTAGTCGTCGTCGTCGCGATCGACGACCGTCGACGCGCTGCCGCTGTCTTAATCGACCAAGTTTTATATTACATTATAAACAATCGCGACGAGAAAGAGGAAAGAAAGAAAAAAACTCGCGATGATCTGCACCGCTGCACACAGATGTATAGGTGCGCGTGCGTCCGCAGCTTTTTCGTTGGCGATGCATTAAATTCGTTATATATACCATACGTGCAGAAGCGATCGTAACGAGCTCGATGGGAGGAGGAGAAAAATTCGCGAGAATCGATCGAATCTCTCTCTCGAGCTCCCTTCATATATATATCGACTGGGTAGTACTATTCGCGCGCGCGTCGGGTGGCCCGTGGAGCGTAAAAAGCTACAAATCTCGAGGCAGTTAACGAATAGACTCTCGCGGAGCTCGCACTATACATACATAATAATACTCTCTGTGCGCAAGCTCTCTCTCTTTCACGGTGATAAATCAAAAAATAACGCGAGCCAATAATAACGCTCGATATATATAAACGAGATTTAGGTGCGATATAACGTCCTCCGACAAATTACAACGCGCTAGTTCGCTCGTGCTCCTGCAGCTATATAGCGTATATAGATATGGGTAAGGCTCAGAATTTTTTAAATAAACCTGCGCTCGTATGTCACCGATCTTGACGCGCTTTTGGTATGTTATAGTACATGGTAAAAAAGACCCAAAACCAAAATTTTAGACCCCCTCCCCCCTCCTACCCCCCACTTCCGGTATAAACGTCCATTTTCTATCTATATTTTTTCTGAAGGCCTGAAGCAATTAAAAAATCTGAAAAAATTCACAAAAATACTTTTCAACAATCCAAACAACCTTGAATTTTTTCAGATTTTTTGAGTGCTTCAGGCCTTCAGAAAAAATTATTGAAAATTTTGAAAATTCATATACGGCGCTACGATGCAATACAAAGCCCGATCTTTTTTTCCACTTATTTTTGACATCAAAATACATAACCTCAAATTTTTTCAGATTTTTTCAGACAGAGCGCTGGCGGTTTTTAGCCGAAAAACGCCCTTTTTTTACGAAAATAATTTTTTTAGGGCGATATGAAGCTTTAAAAAATCTGGAAAAATTTTTTTCTTGTTTTTCAGGTCAAAATACATAACCTTGAATTTTTTCAAATTTTTTAATTGAAGGCGATAGCATCTATGGCTAAAAAACGCTATTTTTATGAAAAACGGTTCCTGGAACCCAGAGGTTCCGGTAAAAAAATTTGAAAAAATTTTTTTCGAATTCCTTGTCAAATTTTAATAAATTTTGACCGTCGCAAAATTTCGATTGGAGCTTCCTAGCTCATTCTAGAGCATAACAAAGATTCGAGCGAAATTCTGAAGAAATTTGAAAAATAATGTAATTGTGATGAACGTCTTCAGAATTTCGCTCGAATCTTTGTTATGCTCTAGAATGAGCTAGGAAGCTCCAATCGAAATTTTGCGACGGTCAAAATTTATTAAAATTTGACAAGGAATTCGAAAAAAATTTTTTCAAATTTTTTTACCGGAACCTCTGGGTTCCAGGAACCGTTTTTCATAAAAATAGCGTTTTTTAGCCATAGATGCTATCGCCTTCAATTAAAAAATTTGAAAAAATTCAAGGTTATGTATTTTGACCTGAAAAACAAGAAAAAAATTTTTCCAGATTTTTTAAAGCTTCATATCGCCCTAAAAAAATTATTTTCGTAAAAAAAGGGCGTTTTTCGGCTAAAAACCGCCAGCGCTCTGTCTGAAAAAATCTGAAAAAATTTGAGGTTATGTATTTTGATGTCAAAAATAAGTGGAAAAAAAGATCGGGCTTTGTATTGCATCGTAGCGCCGTATATGAATTTTCAAAATTTTCAATAATTTTTTCTGAAGGCCTGAAGCACTCAAAAAATCTGAAAAAATTCAAGGTTGTTTGGATTGTTGAAAAGTATTTTTGTGAATTTTTTCAGATTTTTTAATTGCTTCAGGCCTTCAGAAAAAATATAGATAGAAAATGGACGTTTATACCGGAAGTGGGGGGTAGGAGGGGGGAGGGGGTCTAAAATTTTGGTTTTGGGTCTTTTTTACCATGTACTATAACATACCAAAAGCGCGTCAAGATCGGTGACATACGAGCGCAGGTTTATTTAAAAAATTCTGAGCCTTACCCATATATATAAATGAAAATGAAGCGGAATGCGCGTCGCTTATATTTCGATATATATAAAATAACGAATGGACGCGTTAATGCACGGGGGAGCACGTGTGTGCGCGCTGAAAAGCTTTTGTATGTCGTATACACCTTGGCATTGCGCGCACACGCGAAAGTTGAACGATTGCATTATAATATACATGCATGTATCGCGCCTTTGCACTGCACTCGTCCGCGAGTAGTATATGTATTAATATGTATGTGACGATGGCGCGTGACGACTTCGTTTTCCACCGTGTATACTACAACAACAACGGCAGCAGCACATTTCGCTTCTAGGCTATGCCCGTGGACTTTTTACAATGTCACGTCTGCTGCGGCTAGGCATACATAGATACACTGTATTACACGTATCGTATATATATTATAATTGCAGCTCGACTCGCGACGACGCCTCTCCGTCTCTATCAAGCGTCTGCGATATATAGAATATAAGTAGTTTCCGATATTGTACCGGCGGATTTATAAAGAGCTGTCGATGACTACTTCCTCTATCGTATCCATATAAGCAGGGTTAGAGAGGAAAGAAAGAAAAAAAACGCGAGTTAGCTCGCGAAATCAATGAGAGCTGAGGATGACTCGAGGCCTATATATCTCTCGCGTATTTACATCGTTATAAATACCTCTTGGTAATTACGTAGCTGCTCGAGGCATATATACGCTATAACGCTAACCAATACAGTACAACAATAATTGGCACGTGAGCGCGAATCTTTTTTTTCGGGGCTTTTTTTACGACGACGACGACGATGATGATTCTCACGCGCTACCCGATATACCCACTTTATTATAGCTGCCGAGAGTCGAGATCGGCTATATGTGACTAATTACCTTTTTTTTTTGAGCAAACATTGCACTCGTGTACGTATAGTATCTCGATTGTACTACATCTCTGTATAACGTTCGCGCGTTACAAGCGAGTGGAGGATTTTTTTTTTTTTCATTTCTTTCTTTATTTTTTTTCCTCTCCCTTTCGCGCTCTCTTTCTTTTCTTTTATAACTCGACATTTACTACACACAATTCCGTGTATTCGATAAGCAGGCAGCAGAGTCGCAGTCATTCATTTTTCATTATATACGTATTGTGTATTATCGATCAACAGAGTGTTTTGTCAGTCAATAAGTTTCGCGTGATTAGCGAGTGTCACATGAGAAGATTCCAATTGATTGCGCGCGTGCAGTTCGCGCCAATTATACTTTTATACTCGGCGCGCGCCCGAACAAGTATTATATATATATAATTGATAATTTTCCACACGCTCGACAATCGTATATATAGCTCGCAAAATCGGAAGTAAACATTCGTCCGCTGTACATAGTCAGCGTGATTATTGTAACATCGTCTTAGTCTAATCGGTATACGTACTCGCGGAGCTTTATACTTATATACGGTGTGTAGCCGGAACGACGACGGATCGCGCAAAACAGATGCGGCGCGTGCCCGCCAGAGAGAGAGAGAAAATAAATTGTATTATCAATTTGCGATGTTTGACAGCTGAACGGAGCTAACGATCATCGACGTGTATACGCGTGTGTGTGTGCGTGTACCTATATATATAAACACAAATAAGCACGTGACACGTGAGAGAGAGAAAACCTCGTGACTATTATGGCACATAACGCGCGCGCGTTGTTTACGTATCCTCGAGTTGGCGGCCTTAAAAATCGGACTCGCCGCTATACTCGAGTCTGCTGCACTCTTGAACGATGAGCTAGCTAGCAAGGGATCTAGAAATTACTGCGACGATCGCGGCCTGGGCACATTCCTCGAGCCGTGTGTCACATGACGACAATCTCGATTCTCGCGCGCGCGCGAGACTTTCCCGCGTGACGATACAATTATAATAAAACGTTCGATTATTGTGTATAGCTGCACCGACATTGCACCGCAGTGTAGCTCTTGAGAGAGAGAGAATGAGAAATGACGAGTTGAAAGAGACAGAGAGCATAGATTATAGAGATTGATAAAGAAAATATTATGACGGTTAGATAGCGTTTAGATTAATCCATTATCGGCGCGTGACAGCGACGAGGCAATTACAATATTATAAATAGGATTTTTTGCGCAAGCGGCCGCGTGTGCACGAGAGCTGTATGTATATATGACTTACGCGCCGTTGAATCCGTGGGTACAGCAGGAGATCTTTTTTTTTTCGCAGCGAGAAAAACGAATTGGCGGAGAGAGAAAGAGAAACGAGTGCGCAGCTTGCACGTATAGGACGTCCGCGTGTAAACGTGCCTATAGTCCGAGTCCGGAGAGCGCGTGCAACTCGTTTACTCCCTAGTTAGTGGTCAATAATCTCAATTAGTGCACTCGTTCGTTCGTATATATATATACTGTACGGACTGTGACGGAGCGCCGAAGGAGTTTTGCTAAATTCAGATTACCAACTCCGCTCTGCTCTCTGTGCTCGCTCGCTCGCTAATTCGATATGCAGCGGCGGCGGCCGCGGCTGTGAATTGTTGCCGCAATTCGTCGTCCCGTGGCCAGCAGCGAGAGAGACTCGCGCGCGCGACCAAATCGAATTTGCAGAACTCTTTTTTCCGAAGGCCAACGGGCAGCCGCTTGACGTGTGTGTGTGTGTGTGCACGCGTGCATCATCTTTATGCGCTGTAATAGCTTACATCTGTCAGCGCTTGTCCGAGCGTTTAAAAAAATTTTTCCAACTCGCACGCAGCAGCTCCGCGGCGAGCGGTGATTTTTCCAAAAAGAATACGACGAGAGAGACACACAAAAAAAATGTATATGCAGCGCTTGATGCATGTGCGCTCTATTATGTGCCGGAAAACGAGAGCCGCACGAGCTTTTACAATGTATTTTTCCTCTCGAAAGCTCGACGACGATAATTGCTGCTGTATGCATATAAAGAGAGAGAGTGAACACTTTTTATACATTTTTATACACGACGTTGATTCGATTGCAGAAAAATAGCCCTGGTTATAATTTTAACGAGGGCCGGCCTCGATCTCGACCCGGCCGCGCTCAAAGCCATGAAGATCACCGTGCCGAAGATCGGACTGATACCTTGGTTCTTCGAGGCCGGCGTCGTGGCCGTCGCGGGACACTACGTGCTCGGGCTCGAACTGCTCTGGGCCCTGCTGGCCGCGAGCGTCGTCGCCGCCGTCTCGCCCGCCGTCGTCGTGCCCTGCCTGCTCAGGCTGCGTGGAAAGGGATACGGCGTTGCCAAGGTAATTTTTTTGGTTTTTTGTTATACTCATCCACGAGTGCGTCTATTTACTTTTCTATCCCTGTTGAAAAAAAAAGGGTTAAATTTAATACAGATTTTTAATGTAAAATCAGGCATTAAAATTACAGAGGCCGATATTGAATTTTATTCAAGGTACTTTTACGTGAAAACTTCGCTGACGAGCGATGTATAAGTACTGATTTATTTTTTTTACACAGGCAGCACAAAAAATGTAGAAAAATTAACCCCAATATATACAGTATTCGTAATATGAAAACAAACGAAGAAAACTCAATGATAATTAACGCCAGTCGCCACCGCCAGATGGCAAATACTTTTATCTGTAAATCTGCAAGTGGCAAAGTCGATATAAGTGTATAAATCAAAGCATCTGTAAATATGCAAGTAGGATAACTTTTGAGTCGCACCCTAGTAAAAATGCTCAATATTGATAATGGTCTGATGGCCTGTAATGAAGTAAATACATTACTATCAATTGGCTTGTTTTTGGCGATTTTCGGTTAAAATTGTATCACAAATATTACGCGCATTTAAAATGATCTGAAAATGATGACTGTTCAGCTGTTTCAAAAATTAAGACTAATTTTCAACCACTTTGCATTCTGTAATGCCAGTTCGAGACTTCGCCACTAGATGGCGAGTACCTTTAACTGTGAATCTTCAAGTAGTAAAGTCAAAATAATTGTATAAATCAAAGCACAGTGAGCGCATTGAGCACCGTTATAGTGACCAAAGAACTTTTTAGTTAAAAACTATACATAAAATGTGGAGAATTGGGCATTCATTTCGATGATTTTACAAGAAATTGAACTCATCCATAATGAAGAAAAAAAATTCCTTCGCTGTTACCTGAATTGTAAAGTCAATATTTTTAACAGTGATATAAACGATTAAACGAACATCTATTCAGCCGCGACACTAACGTCGATAAAAAAAAAAAAGCAAGTTACTGACGAATGTTAATGACATTTTTTTCTGTACACAGGGAATCCCGACGCTCATCATAGCCATCGCGGGCATCGACGACGCCGCCTCGGTGGCGGCCTTCGGCATCCTCGAGAGCGTCCTCTTCTCCACGGACTCTCTCACGTATAAAATTCTGCAGGGGCCGATCGCCATTTTCGGCGGTCTCGGCTTCGGCATCGTCTGGGGCATTCTGTCGCGTTACGTGCCGGAAAAGGGAGACGTGAGTATACACACATTCGCGCTGCGAGCTTTTCATTCCAAAAATGTCGTATGGATTTTTACTCTCGTGTCGTTATGATATCGCAGCCCTTCGTCATACCCATGAGAGTATTGATGCTGCTGTTTGGCGGACTGATAGCCGTTTTCGGGAGCGAGGCCATCAACCTCGGTGGAGCTGGTCCATTGGCAGTGGTCGCTGCGGCCTTCGTCAGCGCCTTCATGTGGTCCAGGGATGGCTGGGATATCGAGGACGTAAGTACATGAAATTGAACCAACAGTCAATCGAGATCACAACTCAACCGAACTTCCCCCGCAGAATCCAGTCGCCACGGCCTTCGAGATCTTCTGGATGATCTTCGAGCCGATCCTGTTCGCGCTTACGGGCACCCAGATCCGCTTCGAGGACTTCGGGGGCAGCATCGACGTGTACCAGGTGATCGGCTGTCTGCTCGCCGCCATCGTCATCCGGCTGATCGTCACTGTGGGCGTGTCGTTCGGCTCGCGCTTCAACACGAAGGAGAAGATCTTCATCGCCCTGGCGTGCATGGCCAAGGCGTCGGTGCAGGCGGCCCTGGCGCCCGTCACCCTCGACCGGGTCCTGGAGAAGGGCCTCGACGCGCACGCCCAGGGCCAGGCCAAGCTCATCCTCGTGCTGTGCATCATGTCGATCCTGCTGACGGCGCCGTCGGGCGCCATCCTCATCATGACGACGGGCCCGCGGCTGCTGACCAAGACCCGGGTGCCTCCGATCGGCGCGGGTGGCCACGCGGCCGGTGGTCCCGAGGGCTCGCAGAACGGCGACAACTGGCGGGCGCGCAGGCCCTCGATACGCGACATCTCCATCATCGACGAGGTGCCCGAGGTCGACACGGTGGTCATGCCCTCGAGCGCCACGAGCCTCTACGGCGACGGCCTTCCAACGACCACCAATCCGTCCGTCACGTCGGGCCCCAACAGTGGCGCCGAGAATCACCGATGATGACGACGACGACGTTCTTCGTCGTTATCGCTGCTCGCGTCGCACTCGTTACACATACAAATCAGCAGCAGCAGCAGCAGTGGCCTCCGAGCGGGTACACACCGTTTGCACACAAACACATCATACACAAGTACACATGCACACAAGGCGGCATAACTTATGCACATTATATATAGTGCCAAACGGTGATTCGTAGATTTAATCGGGCTGATCGTTAGTGCTAGGGAAACAATCATCAGCGCGTTATACATACACACGCTTGTGTATATTCCATATACAGACATTTACACACACTCACACAAACACGTGTACACGAATAGATGATAACTAAGGAAAAAAAAATGTTAGGTAGATTGTCAAAAACAAATGTCTAAAGTATTAAGTAGTTTTACATGTATGATAGATATACATATTTGCATGTAGTTATCTATGTTTAGCATATAATATATGCGCGCGCGACCACGAGAAGCGATCGATCTCAGTTTAAACGTGTACATATAGTTGTATACAGGCCACGGTTTCGTACATACAAACATACATACATATATTACACACAACACAACACATATACATAGAGACAGATATGCAATATGTGTGCCAAAGAGTAGGGAGGACTTTTTAATTGAAAAACATTGAATTATCAATGAAAAAGGCGATTCGCAATTTTGCCACTCGTTGACGTTCTTCGTTGGTCATTTCGATGTGTTACTGTACAATATATAGTTATGAATGTGGTTCTCGTTTTACCTTTTTTTTTCTCTTCCTTTCTTTTTCTTTTTTTTTTTTTTTTTTTTCATTGCATACCACAAATGAATCGCGCGCGAGAAAGGGGATGAAAAATAGGGAGAGTGAAAACGATCGAGAGATTGAGATTGTCGGTTGCATTTTAAAAACGTGTGTATGCGTGTGCGCGTCTGTCTTCGTTGAAGATTTTTGTATTCAACTTCGTTCTGTATACAAATGTATAGTTTATGTATTTAACAGCTCGCTCGTATGGGGGCGAGACATACATGTGTACTTTTTAGCCTGCTATATAAGATTATAAATAATTGTTACTCTTTACAGATAATATTATATACATAAAAAATATATTTATGAATGTTAGATAGTCGAAACGTGTATAAAATACAAGCAAAAAGAAGAAAGATAATTACAATTAATGACTTATACATAGTTGTAAAAAGCGTAAATTAAATCATTACACTACCCTTAAAACATATGTGATATCTATCGTGAATGAAAAACTGCATTCGATACATTGATCTCGCGTCAAAAGGAAAAAAATAACAAAAATATCGACGGTCGTTGTTACATACGATATCGGGGCGCCTCTGTACACACTTATACTACGAGTCAACGGCTCGATTAAACAATCAATACATAACGTATTACTAAAAAAGGAACAAGCGGATTATGTATCGCAGTCCGCGTTTCTATAAAGTGCATATAATTTAATGCTACAACGTTGAATAATCAAAACGGCCAAGAGAAAGAACGGTATATATGCGATATCGTATGGCTGCAATAATGCCATCTGCGACGAACGACCGCTATATATAACAATAACGAGGTGAAAAACTCCATTATATCGAGAGGCGATATATGTATCGGAGAGTGAGAGAATCGAAGCCGAAAAGTATTATATATTCGGGAATATAACCGATTGATCGGATTATGGCATTTCGCTCCATTTACGCGGCTGCTGCAGCGTTTGATATCGCTTAGCGAATTTTCCCAGGGATCGCCACTGCCTAATTGGATGCGCGAAAAAAAAGTACTTCGCCCTATATAGATCGTGTGAGTATTTATTAGTATTATACAGAATGACAAAAAAAAAGTTTGCGCTCGATGACACGCGAGCGAGTTAAAATAGACAGCTCGATCGCCGATGGATGAGTGTACATTGCATTAAAAAAAAAAAAAAAAACTTTTTAATGGGCTCATCCCAGCTAGCGCGGCTATTGTCGCGCGCTTGCAAGCTTGAGGAACGAATCTCCTATACACAGCATCACGATTTTCGCGGGTAAAAAAAAAAAATCAACTCGTCGCGCGGAGTTTTCGAGTACAATTTTTCGATTCATTGAAACAGCCGAATCGATCGGGCAGCAACAGCAGCAGCAGCCTCGAATCTCTCTCTCTCTCTCTCTCGCGAATGTGCCGCGCTACATAATTCATCGGGCCGGGGGGTGTCCCCCCGCGCACATGCAGATATATCTCTCTCGCTACACATCGCACACATATACAACGCGCCGAGTAATAACTGCGCGTGCAGAAGCGCAAATCGCGCGCGCGCGCGTATACGTGCGTACGTACCGTGTATATTTATTAAATGCCGAACGTTGGCTTGCGCGCACCGTTCAATTTCGCGGCTAATAATCACTTTGCAAGCTCGACGCGTACGTACCGTATTTTATTATATCTCGCGCGCGCGCGAGCACTCGACACGATTCCGCATATTTATTATATACGAGTACACACACGGTAATGGATGTGGCAAAATTACTCGATCGTGGCGCCGCGCAGTTACGACGATAACAATAATACGTTTTATGAAAAAAAAAAAAAAAAAAAAAGCTCAGGGCTTGAGAGACGACGAGCCGGTGACGGACGTGGCCGAGTTGAGGCTGCTCGCGCTCGAGAATCGCCTCAGCACGCCGTCGATGGTCGAGCGCACGAGACCGCCGCCGTTCTGGCCGTTGCTGCTGCTGCTCGTGGCGGCGAGGCTGGTGCTGGTGGTGCGACTGAAGTAGGCCGTGTTGACGCGGCCCCGGGCCCCGTTGGGACCGCGACGACGACGACGGGCGGCAGCGACGGCCCCACCGCAGCCGAGCCTCGTGGCCAGGGCACGCAGCACCTTGGCCTTGAGCACGAACAGGCAGAAGACCCAGAGGCCCTGCAGGCCGTTGAGGGTGTCGGTCAGCAGGAGGGCGTAGCGGAACCACGTGTCGTAAGCGAGCTCCGGGATGTTCTCCAGAAAGTCCGAGACCATCTCCATGCAGAAGAGCACGCCCATGATGACGAACAGCTTAAAGTTCATCAGCAGCCTGCAAAATATGGAATGGAATTGATATGTTGCGCGAGCTCGAGATTAAGTTCGCACTCGTACTTGACTCTGGCGGAGTTGAGCTTTCTCGTCCTCTTCTCGCGCACGTCCGACATGGCCGACTGTATGTCGGCCTTGACTTTGTTGTAACGATAGGTGGTCGTGAGGAAGAAGTAGACGTTGAGCAAGATGGTGAAGGAGCAGGGCAGCCAGTAGAAATACTTCTCGTCCCACGAGTATCCTGTAATAATATCATAGATTGCCCCGCGAGTTATATCATACAACAGTTGGGTAATCTTTTTTAATTACATTTAACGGATATTAATACGCCCTGTATATACGATTTTCACCCTGGGAGTGAAAATTTTTCTCAGAAAGAAAATTTTCTTTTTTTTTTATCCGAGGCCAAGATAAGACGAGCAGCTCTCGGCGTATATAATATATAATAGCTGCATAGAGTTGCGAGCTGGCGCGTGCGAGACTTTTCAACGCGAAGAATTCAATTAATTTTCCGCAGGAGCGCGCGAGCTCGCCTACATATATATACAGCACGCGTCATCGTATATATATAGTACAACGGGTTGTATGCAGCGCGCGCCATGTGCCAAGCTGCACACATAGCTATATTATATATCCTCCAAGCAGCTACAGCCGTCGTGCGCAATTTTCACGCGATCGAGCGAGTCGGCCCGACGACGACGACATAGACGCGCTCAACTAGAGAGTAGACTAATGACCTAGAGCTCTATGCGCACGCCGTATCCTATCCTATACATATATGTGCTATTGGCCTCTCTTCGGGCGTCGCGCTGCAGCTCTTACAGATCTCTCCATTAATTTCATCGCGCTCGCGGGCTATCTTCTGCGCGCGGCTTCTTTTTCTATTTCGAGCCCCCGCCGCCCGTCTAATGAGACATAATAATGGTCCTGTGTGCTGACCCTATTCCCATTCTATCCACGCGCCCTTTGATGTCGCGCGTGTATCTCGTTGCGTATATATTATACTACTTACTGCTGAACCAACAGCGAGATTTGCCGACGGAATTGCGACTGCTGATCGGCTCGAGGTCGCCGTAGACGCACGCGGCCAGGGTGCCGGTGAACAGCAGCGGCAGGCCCCAGCCGTACAGACAGTAGAGCAGCAGCCGAGTCCTGCGTCGGCGATTCTTCATCGAGGCCGTCAGTCCTGCCTCGCTGTTTTTCAGGCTCCTGTTGAGAAAAGAGAAAAATTCATCAAGAGTTTGCTGCCTATTTTATTTGTAAACTTTAACAGAGCAATTTTTCAAACTTGTCAAAAAACAAAATTTACAAAAAGTATAGATGGAAATATCTTCGTTCGATTCTATTCAATTTTAACAGTTTTATTTTGAATTAAATATTAAATTGAATTAAATCTTGGCTGATTATTTTTCTCCATTTACTCGATGTTTGATTTTTTGGAAAATACTTAGTTTTAGAAGGCCAAAAAATTTCTCGGAGGAATAATTGCCGAATTAGAACTTTAAATTGTTTCAAATATTTCAAGGATAAATTATAAACAGATAAATAGGTACTTTATTTGTAAACAATATGAATTTTAATGATTATGACTTATCTGATCATGTTTATAGTAAAAACAAATTAGTTCGAATGTTGTCTTTTCCGATGAAACACCGACATAACAGCCAAAGATAAATTTTACTCATTCAATTTCCGTGGCCCCATATAGAAAGATCCGTCATTTTTTTTAAGCTTCAAAATGGATAAAAGTGAGAAGATATACGATGAAGTTGTCTCGAAAGATAATGCAAGTAAACATGATATTGTTGTTTCAGACGACAAAAATAAATCAAGTATGATAACAACGCTTGACACTATTCGCAATGAACAAAAAAATTACGCATGCGACAAGTGTGAAAAAAAATTTGAGTTTAGAAGTCATTTGAGTAGACACCAAATATCAGAGCACAAAGGCCGCAATGATTTTGCATGCGAACAGTGCGAGAAGAAATTTGTGAAAAAATCGAGTTTGTTTACGCACAAAAAATTAGTCCATAAAAATCCCAAAGATTTCACGTGCAACAAGTGTAAGAAGAAATTTGAAAATATATCCACTTTACTGAAGCACAAAAAAATATTCCACGAAGTTTTCAGAGACTATTTATGTGAAAAGTGTGCGAAAAGATTTGGAAATAAACAGAGTTTGCTCGCGCACATTAAGACAGTACATGATGGTCAGAAAGATTTCACCTGTGACTACGTAAAAGATTACGTATGCGACATTTGCGAGAAAAAATTTGGACTGAAAACGAATTTACTTGTCCACCAAAAGACAGTCCATGAAGGACGCAAAGATTACCCATGTAACAATTGCGAGAAGAAATTCGGACTAAAGCAGTCTTTGCTTATACACCAAAAAACAGTCCACGAGGGCCGAAAAGATTACGTATGCGACATTTGCGAGAAAAAATTTACGCAAAAACCTAGTTTGCTACACCACCAAAAGACAGTCCATGAAGGTCGCAAAGATTTTGCATGTGACAAATGTGAGAAAAAATCTGGAAGTAAAGGAAATTTGTTGAAGCACCAAAAGACGATACACGAAGGTCGCAAAGATTTTGATTCTGACAAGTGTGACCAGACATTTGGACGTGGACATCATTTGCTTTTGCATCAAAGGACAGTTCATGAAGTTCGCAAAGATTACGCGTGTGACAAGTGCGAAAAGAAATTTCGAAGAAAATGGATTTTGGTTCAGCATCAAAAGACAGTCCACGAAGGTCGCAAAAATTACGCTTGTGATAATTGCGAGAAGAAATTTGGTACAAAATCACATTTGCTTTTCCATCAAAAAACAGTACACGAAGGCCGGAAAGATTTTGCATGTGACGAGTGTGAGACGAAATTTGGATTTAAATCGGCTTTGCTCTTACACCAAAAGACAGTCCATAAAGGTCGCAAAGACTACGCATGCGATAATTGCGAGAAGAAATTTGGACGAAAATCGATTTTGCTTTTCCACCAAAAGACAGTACACGAAGGTCTCAAAGATTTCGCTTGCGATAGGTGCGAAAGTAAATTTGGACAAAAAATACATTTGCTTTTCCATCAAAAAGCAGTCCATGAAGGTCGCAAAGATTACACATGCGAAAAGTGCGAAAAGAAATTTGGATATAAATCGACTTTGCTTTTTCACCACAAGACAGTCCATGAGGGTCGCAAAGATTATGCATGCGACAAGTGCGAGAAAGTATTTGGAAAAAAATCGAATTTGCTCTGCCACCAAAGAGCAGTCCACGAAGGCCGCAAAGATTACGCATGTGACAAATGCCAGAAAAAATTTAAGGAACGAGGCAGTTTGATAAAACACCAGAAAACAATCCACGAAGGTCGCAAAGATTACGGATGCGACGAATGCGAGAAGAAATTTGGACAAAAAGTGCATTTGCGCATTCACCAAAAAGTAATCCACGAAGATCGCGAGAACACGCTTGAAACAATTGTGACAAGAAATTAATGTTTACAATTTTAAATATGTGTAGACAATTGTACACGTTTTTCTAAAATTTTAATAAAAATTATGTCAAAATGATCGTGTATTACCTGAACTTCGAACATGAACCTATCATTACACCTTTATTCACAGTAGTGGTTGGTAATTTTTTTTTTAACCAGACGCCTACTAATTACTACTTTTCGTGAATGTTGACCCACGCAACGATCGCCTGAGAATTTTTGTCGCGCCTCTTGTATTGGAACCGTGAATGGGACGTGTGTTTGGTTGACTACTGGATTATTATAAACGTCACGTAAAGTAACGCAATTTGACGTGCATGTGATTACTGTTTATTTTTTAGCTGACACCATACAAATTTACCTAAATTCATCAAAAGGGACAAAGTTGCTCCAACTCAATGTTGTAAGTTTTAATTATTTATGACGAGTTTTCAACAAAGATCAATGTTTCAAAAATATTAACAATATCTTTGAATCCCTAAAAAGGTGCAAAAACTGCTTGATTTGAAAAGTTTTTTCAAAATATTTTACTGATATAATTTGGCTATTTGACGCCAGATGTCGCCTTGCGGATGACTGTCCCCGCAAGTGGCTAGAAGTATCAGACCCTGACTATAAATACCAGCTCGATCCACTACCTGCATCAACCAGCTTTTTCCGGAATACTGTCCGCCCAGCTATTTTATCACAGTCACACGAAAAGGCTTCTTACCTTATGAACTTGATCAATCGACTTTCAACTTCAAAGAAATTGACAATGAGTCAAAGTGAATGCTTGGTTGAAATTATCAATTATTTTGCACTCACAATTCCCTATCTTCAAAACTATCGTACTAAACCTTCGAAATGTATACCTAGCGAAATTGTGTTTTGCCACTTGCAACTTTACAATGCTCCATCTGTCGATGGAATCAAAAAACAAAAGTCGATTTCGGACCCTTCCCAGAGCAATAATAAATTCTTTCAATCGTATTTATCGGTCGGTCTTTTCGACTCGGCAGTCGGGGATTATCGCTACTATCTGTATAAAACGCGTACATAAAGTAGAGAGTGAGAGCCGAGTATGATCCGGCATACGCACATAAAGAAGCTCACCTCTTTTCTCGGGCGCCGTAAGAGAAAAATAACAGCTTTTGCGCTCGCTTCTTTTCTTTCTCTAGCTCGTCAAAGAATATAAATATATATACATAATATATCCCCCGGAGGGAGGAGCGAGCACACTATTCATTGAAGACTTATGTATCCTCGTGAAGAAGAAGCAGCAGCAGCAACTGCTAGCTGCCTTGGAATATCTTCAAACGACTGCGCAAAGAACTGTTTCGTAGCTAAAACTACTTTTTATTCAAAGCTGCTGCTGCTGCTGCTGCTGCTGCTGCTGCTGCTACTCGCGCATTTATGCTATACATAAGCTGCACGAAAGCAACATTTTTATTTTAATTAAAGAAAACACGATGATCGCGCGCGAGGATATCCTCCATGCCCGTACAGCTCGACTTGCGCCCCGCGCGCGTCTTGGTTCGTATTATATATACACGCCCATAAGAAGCTATTCCAATGAAATTCTCAGCAGCTCGCTTTTCATTCTTTCTTTTTCGACGTGTATATAAAAAAAAACGATAATGAGATAAAAAATTTATATTATTGTATGTATACGTCGCGATATAAATGTTGTATTGGATATATAAAATGGAAAACGATTCGCGCAGTATATATATCTACGTATTTACCGAAGCTACACGCAGGGATCTAGAAATATCTAAAGCTCGAGAGCTGAGAAATGAAGAGTCGAAGTTGATGTAGTCTCGTTAAGAAGAAGAAGAAGAAGAAGAGAAAAAAAAGAGGTGGAGCTAGAATCCTATTCCAGAAAAAGAAAGTGGAACGGACGAGTAAAGCTTTTTTCCCGTCTTTGGCGCGATGCAGCAGCTTTTCTCGCGCTCGTGCCCCCGACCGAATGCACTCCTATGCGCACTAACTGTGCAGTATCGGACACCTGAAGCTCCAAAGCTCCGAGCTGCTTTCTCTGGCCCTTTTACTTCCCTATAGCCACGCGCGGCTTGTTAGGCAGACATGCATTATATCGGCTTGCCGCGTATATTATCTCGACTTCTTTTTTCGAAGTGAAACTTCTTTAGGTGGGTATAAGGGCATGACTTCGCTGTGGCTATTTGGCGTCGTGCAAATGTTTACACTTTGTTCAGGTCATATTGCGTATAGTAAAGGGTAAGTAGTCAGTAATAACGTGAGTGAAAAAAAATGTAATATTGATAAACAATTTCGTTGACACAGATAACTATATTGCCAAGGCGACGTATGATATTTTGTAAAGTCTGATGGTATAAAATGTCACCAATTTTTGATATTATTCAAATAAATAAATTAAAAAAAAATTAAGTTCATTATGGTTCGCTTTAATCATACTATTTTTGCACTTACCCGAAGGTCCACCAGATGTCGAAGCAGGTGACGTTCATCCAGAGGAATCCAGAGATCACGAAGTAGTACATGGTGAAGGCTGCAACAATATCGGGCTCGTTATTACAGTCCGCGTATTATGATGTACCTCGACCGCATAGCATCGCGAAATTCATTACCCAAAGCTTGACAATAGTACTCGCGAATGGCCTCCTCGGTCTTGTCGTCCACGGCGTACTGGGGAAACTTGGAGGCGCCCAGCAGGCAGTACATGACGAACAGGGTGAATACGTAGGCCATGATGACGCGGCCGTGTATGTTGCCGTGCAGCATCGGCAGGCAGGCGTAGACGAGCAGCGTCAGCAGGAGAAAGAAGGCGCTCACTCCGAGCAGATAGCCGATGTAGGCCATGCGAAAGCCGAGCGGGTCGTAGCCCTGCAGCACCGTGTCGCGATCGAAGCAGAAGGCCACCTGCAGACCGTCGGCCAGGTTCAGGACGGGCTGCTGGTCGCGTATCAGCTCGACGCAGTAGCTGCGCCAGTCGAACACGATCGGGGGTTCGTCGCCGTCGTCGTCCCGCTCGAATTCCAGGCGGCCGTCGGGTTTCATTTGGCGGAGAGTCTCGAGCTCGCCGAAGTAGCCGCCGTACTCGCACTTGGGCATCATGAGCAGGCCGTAAGCTGCGCGTTTGAACAATTATTATCGTAAATATTGCAATAATATAATGAATCAGATGCTCGAGGTAAAGAGATGCTCACAGCTGGTGTCGTAGCTGAGATTGCCGAGAAGCCGGTGGAGCTGCTCGCGAAACTGCTGGAAGTGTCGCGGACCGGTCGAGTCGCAGGTGCCGTCGTAGATGGCGTCCTCGCTGCCGCAGCACTTCCTGAAGCACTGCCTATGCCGGCAGTAGTCGGTGCTCCGGCAGAGTCTGGCCACCATCCTGGCGTATCCTCTTCCTTCGACTTCTTCTTCTTCTTCGTCGTCGCCATTACCTCGTACGTCGATGCAGACGTCCGGATTATTGCCGAGGTAGACGACGTCCTCGCTGGCGTTACGGTCGACCCTCGGCACCTTGATCTGCGCGCATACGCATACAGATAAAATAATGACATCGCTCGATTCTGAGAGTCGATTTATGCGCGGGGTTTTTACGTTTCACATGCGCGATTTTATACGTAATCGCTCGCGATGCATCGAGCTGTATGTACATACGTACTTGCGTGCAGTGCATATAACTCGCGGGAAAAGCTCATCGCTCACTCGGGCGAGTACACTATGAGCGCGTAGTACTACTACCGCTGCACAAGCTCAAAACTGCGCGTCTCATCCCTGCGGGACGCGGCATGCAGTACGTAGGATAAGTATACTCGCGTTATACAAAGTCGTCCCCGTACGTACGTATGTATAGCGGGTGATAAATGCGAGACGTTGTTGTTGTTGTCGTAGCTGCTGCTGCTGCTGCTGCAGTTGTTTTTATTGCAGCTGCAGCTGCATATAGTTCATATAAATTGCGAGAGACGCTGCAGCTGCGATTATATATGTGTGTGTGTACAAATCTCGTATCGCGTGTGTATTAGAGCCCGGAAAACTACTTCGCCCCGGAGAGAGAGAGAGAGAGAGAGAGAGAGAGACGAGAGAGCTTGGAGACTTCGAGGTAATTACTCTCCCTCGTATACGTATTACGCGCACGCATATACAGTCGTGTATCGGCTTGTTAAGCGGCGCACACGCGTCGTCTCTTTTTTTTTCTCTACCGATCACGAGCTTTTTCGGTTCATTCCTTCAACTCGATTTCGACTCGATTCGTTTATTATGTTTACATATTCACGACGCGAACTAATAAAAAAAACGGGAGCGCTACTGGTTATACAGTTTGTTCTGCCACCGCTGATAACGTCTACCTAATTCATTTTTTTTTCTATGAAAAAAAAAAGAGCGTCCGCGTAGCCAGTCGATTAAACGATAATTCAAGCCCGAATTCGAGGCACGAAGCTCGAGCCTTGGCGTGTGAAAAAAACTTTTTTCCACGAATAAAGAGAGCCGCTGCTGCGCCACACGGACATTATGGACATTATGGTATATATGTATATGTAGGGTGCACCGTGCGATATTCAAATTGTTCCGGCTCGCTTTTCGCGCCCGCCGCGTTTGCCTCCTCGTCGTCCCATATAGATAGAAAAGTATTGTCGACGAACGAGGAGGTCGAGGAGAAAATTTTCTCTCCCTCCACCCGCGAGGCGAGTCACGACGATCGCTTATATATTAAACCGCGTGTGCCTATATATATACGACGTGGGAGCGCCGAAAGTTTGCCTGTCGCATATCCGCTCGAGATAAAAAAGAAGTGCATCACCGCCGCGTTATATACGTGTTACATGCATAGAGAGGAGGAGCTATATACACACAGGTGCCGCGCGAGCCAAGAAATTTCCGCTCGTACGTGTGAATATATGACTCGAATACAGGCGCATAAAAAATCGTTCGATTCCTCCATCGATCGGCATAAATTTGCCAGCCGCTCGTTATTCTTTCCTTTTTTTTATATATTATTATACGCGACTAATAATATTTAATCCGCGCGTCCGAACTATCTGTACGCGCGCGCGACTAGTGCGGATTTGCGTAGATAGCGGCCCCGTAAGTTTATATCGTATGGTTTTTGCGCTCGCCGCTGCTGCTCGCGTATAAAACGAGTTTGTCATAGGCAAATAAAAGTGATATTTCGGACGCAGGTCGTCGTCGTCGTGACGCAACTCGATGATCGGCGCGCGGTAAACACTATACCACTATAATAGCTGCACTCTCGAAAATCCAGTCACTGCCGCTGCTACTGCTGCTGGCGGCCTTCGGATCGTGCATTGGCGCAATCGTTTAACCTTGACGATCTCATCGACGAGAGATATACTCGTCGCTATATACTTGCTCGGAGCGAGCTGCGATCGTCGTACATATATATATGTATGTTAAGCGTCTATATGGCTCACCTTAAAATTAGCTCCGTCGTAGAGGAGAGCCGCGGTGGAGTCGAAGCGATAATCGACCAAGGCGCCTTCGCAGAGCGGCTTCTCGTACGCCGCGTAGAAGTGGTCCAAGCTCGAGCTGCGATTGAAGAGCAGTCGCGACAACTCGTCGCCGGCTGCGTCGTCGTCGATGCAATACTTGGCCTCGTAGTCGTAGTACTGGCCGTCCGGGCAACACTTGCGAATTTCCAGTGATTTTTGCGGAGCGTCCTCGGAAGACGACGAAGACGATGGATCGACCGAGTCGTCGATTCTATCCTCCGGCGACGAATCGTCGGTCCCATTGGAGCATCGCACCGAGACGACGACGATCTCGTTGCTGGCGGGCAGGTAGAGCTCGTCCAGGCACGCGATTCCTTCCTCCTCCGACCGTGTGTAATTGTCGTCCTCGACCAGCAGCCGAGTTGCTATAGGGTACTCGCTCTCGTTGCTGCACGGGGGCCACGAGCCAAAACTTTCCTCGTCCTGCGCCGTTACAAAAGAGTGCGAGAGAACGAGTGAATATATTATACGCGAGCGAGTTGAAAGAGATGACTAATGAAAGTGAGTGCTGCTGGCGTGTGTCGAAACGTCAAAACCCGAGGTTTGTTTTGCTTTTTCGCGCTTTCGTATATACATTATTATTAAATTCAATCTCTGCCTTTTGCTTATACTTAATTTTCGTCGCGCTAAACCGCAGACGAGACGATCGCGCATCTAGTCTGCTGCTCTCTCTCTCTCTCTCTTTCTGGCATAGCGCGAATCGAAGCAAAAAACAAACACACACGAGGATCTATTTTCGTATTGTAACGTTCGATTCGTGCGCGGCTGCGACGCATTGATATCGTTCCTCGTAACGCCAAACGTCTTCGTCGCAGTCGACGACGCGAAGGAGAAAAGATTTGAAAAGCGTCGACGTTGATGCATCAATCTCTCGTCGTCGTCGTCAAAGCAAAACAAACAGACACGAGGGCACAGTTGCGTTCTTGATATGTAGAAAAAGCTCGCGCGCGCGTATATACACTCACATGTTCGCGGATTGAATATTTATATAAAAGTCGCTTGCATAGAGTACACGATGAAGATGATGTATAAGAGCTCGTTCAAAAGGGACGATGTGTATCGTCGTACGCGCAAAGCTCCCCCGCGGGAGAGAAGGTGTTTTGTCGCGCACACACAGTCAACAAAAGCGAGAAATATTTTTTCATAAGCGAAAGAATGAGAAGCAATCTAAAGATCCATTAGCGGCGAGCCGCGTGGCGCGCTGCAGAAAAAGCTCCGTATACGAACAACGGCTGCCCCCAGAGAGAGGCTCGCTTTTTTCCCTTTTTTTTTTTTGCTTCGTCGCGAATCTTTTGGAGCGCCGCACGTGTGTGTGTCAACTGTCAATGAATACATAAGAATATATAGGGGCTACTCGTACGATGTATATACCTTGAGATTGGCCGCGAGGCGAGTGACTAGCCTACGGCCGACGACGGGGCTGTAATCGCTGCTGGCGCTGCAGTTGAGGCTGGCCGTGTCGTTATCGCGGACCAGCAGCTCCCCGAGCTCGCAGCACTTGAACCGCTGCTGCTGCTGCTGGCAGGAGGCCCTTTGAGTGAGACTAGTCGCGAGCCAAAGAAGCAGCAGAACGACGATACTCATCGGCCGGCCTGCTGCTATTATGCGGCCGCATTGAAAAGACCACATGACTGAGCGCGCGGCGCGCTATTAAACCCTTTCGCGATTAATATTTAGGGCCTGCTTAAGGCTTTTGGATCGACCCAAGCTGCAGCTCGTTCATAATTTATTGAGCGCGTCCACGAGGCTCTCTTCTTTCTTTTGGACTCGTGAAAGATCGCATCGCCGCTTTCGTATATGTGTCCTGACGCGACTCTTTTGATTAAAAAAAAGAAGAAGAAGAAAAGATTAAACTCGCTGCACACGATTGTCGTTACGAAACTCGACTCGCGCACTTTTGGGTTATTTTCAGATGTTTTTCGCACTGACAGGTGCGTCGCCGATGCCGATGATACACAAACACTCGTGCCGACGAGAGAATCGAAGATAATTATCGATCCGCGCGCGTACATTAATTACCCACGCACAAAACGCGAGTGATTTTATGATTCTCGCGGATTTCCGCGCGTCGTCGTCGCCTCGGACAAGCGTTTGTTTGCCTTTTCAAAGAGAGCGCGACTAACAACTTTTACGAGAGCGATTTTCGGAAGAGCAAAGAGAGGCTCGGCACGAGCACACACACACACACACGCGATTCCGAAGGACGGCCGATCCGAGCTTCGAGACACTCGTTCGCTCTGTGCCGTCCGGGTAAAAAGTATCGCTCGCGCGTGGCTCTCTCGATTCTCTTCCCGCGAACACACGTTATTTTACATTATATTCGTCATCGTCGTCGTTGATGGTGGTGGGGAATCGGCGATTGGATGGATGCTGTGGCTGCACGCGGATCATTCGCGCCTCTATGTAATTATGTACTACACTATGCAACGTAACTCGGACGTGTTTTTCGAGATAATAAAGATTTCAATGAAACCCGCGATTTGCGTAAAACAACGAGAGTTAACTAGTCTAACGATTCCAAGTAAGTGAGGAGCAAAAAAAAAAGCTGCGATCGCGTGAATAATCGCTTTACCTATTATTGCGGGGGGCTTGGCCTCTGCCGAGCGTAATAGATCGTAAATGACAAATTAAGCAAATTGACGTTTTTATTCGCAGCTACTTTATCTCGAATATTTCGTGTACATCGTAATTGAGCTGAGATTCGAGCTTCCGTTTCTTTTTTTTTTTTTTTACATATACTGACCTCGAATGAAAATGACATCGATACTCGATATTATTTCAAGCTCGTTGAGAAGGGCACTTTTCGCCCAAAAATGCTACCGGAGAGTGTCGCGTGCCCCTCGCTCAGAGTAATTTACTTTTTTCCTCTCCAATTAATCCCCCGACTTCTCGATCATTTTTCATCTTCTAGATCTTTTTTTTTTCATGCGAAATATATAGTCACTCGGCCGGGTGGCTAATTTCGTTAAGTACGCCTTTTTACGATCTATCGATGCTATACAACGTCTAAAGCAATTACAATTTCTTTATATAATTCGAGCGTATCTTTTGAAACTTTTTTTTTTCTTCTCCTCGCGCGTCTCGTATCAAAGATATATACCGCTCGTCGTAATATAAATGTACGTAGCTAGTACAGAAATAAAATACAATTTAGCCTGTAACTTTGACACCTTTATCGCTTTGATTTCTCGCGCGCGCGCTATATTATATTCGAAAGATAATTGAATCGTGCGCGCGGCTGCACATTGGCTACTGCTGTATATAGATTTTACAGAAAAAAAAAATTACTATATCGTAGCGAGACGCGAGCGAATGCAAAGGAACGATCGAGAATAATTTCACTTCTGCGTCCGATGTTGGAGCGAATTTTGAGCCTTCATCGTTTCAATTGACGTCAATTAAATGTGGAACTTTTTTCGTCCTCTGAGTCTGGACTTCAATTTCTTACTTGAATTCCAGTCAGTCTCTGCATCATGGAAAAATATTTTTAAGAATTAAATACCCGCATTTCCATTTGAAAGTGGTATTTCCATCTATTGCTGTGCACATAATACGAACTAACAAGTATTGTATTGATTACGTACACTAGACATTTGCGTCGTTTGCGTTTGATGAGAAAAAAGAGGTCTTCGTTGCCAGCCGCTGTCAAATCAGACTTCACAGGGTACACACGTAATACGGCAAATGTCAAAACAGTAGCAGACGACTCGCGACTTGCGCAGTGGCTGACACGAGAATAATAATAATAGCTACACGTAAGTGCGTTACTTGCGCCGTCTGATTATTATACCGTGTTCGCGCACGCGACTAGAAAATTCATTCAGTATCTCACGCAGCTCGTTCGAGACTATTCGACTTGGATCGCGCCGCTCTTCGATTAACACTTTTCGTTTGCCAAACGTCAACAACTTTTCGTCTACCTATTGCGTCATGTGAGTACTTTATATGTTTTTGACAAAACCCTGTCAAATTTTGGGCATTGTTACCATGGGAAAACGAGACTATGATCGATTTAGTTCGATTGATCAAATAATCAATCGTCTCCAGCTGCATGTTGTTATTTACGATTGATACAAATGCTGCATCATTCGTACGTTAAACGTATTTTTTTTCGCATCGATGCCACTTGACCTATGTTACATTGTTGTTGCAATATATTAACCATCTCATAGAAATTATTTTGCCGAGTTGCGCAAGATCCGATAATTTTTTGTAATAAACTTTCCATTTCTAACCTCGATGCTCGTAAAACGTGTTATTCGTATATAGAGGATTTTGGAGAATAATTTATTCTTATTCTTATTTTTTTTTTCTCACTTTTAACAGTTAAAACGTCAAGATGATGCTAGCACGTGTGTGCCGCAGTACGCTCGCGCCTCAAGTCCAGAGCTTCTACAAGGCTCCAGTGAACATCCCACAGCTATCTAAAATCCAGACTGTCAGATTATTCGCAAACGATGGAAGGACTTCTTTCACTAGGTCAGCCAGAGCCAGACAGTCGTTGGTTACAGAAAAATTGGCACAGCCCGCTGGAGAAACTGCATTCAAAATTGGACAAGGCGCAGTAGCTGGTGGAGCAGCTTTGGGTATTGGAGCGCTATGCTTCTACGGCTTGGGTCTTTCTGGTCAAGTAGGCGCCATTGACAAAGCAGGGTAAGAATATGCAATGATTAACTCGCAATAAAATGTGTTACAATTATGAGAAATCAATTACATCACAATATCATGAAATTGCAGAATGTGGCCCCAGTATGTGAAAGACCGCATACATACAACATACATGTATTTTGGAGCATCTGTTGTCACAAGTGCACTGTCTGCAGCAGCTTGTTTACGTTCTCCAGCAATGATGAATTTGGTCATGAGACAAGGCTGGTTAGCCATCATTGGAACGATGGCTGCTATGATGGGTTCTGGCATATTAGCTCAAAGCATTCCTTATCAAGAAGGCTTTGGTGCTAAACAACTTGCCTGGTTGGCTCATACTGGTATAATTGGAGCTGTTTTGGCTCCAGCCTGCTTGCTTGGTGGATCTCTTGTCATGAGAGCAGCTTGGTACACCGCTGGAGTCGTTGGAGGACTTTCAGCTGTTGCAGTTTGTGCACCCAGCGATAAATTTTTGAACATGGGTGGTCCATTAGCTATTGGTCTTGGAGTTGTATTCTGCAGTTCTATTGGAACAATGTTCCTCCCACCAACAACAGCTATGGGAGCTGGTCTTCATTCTATTGCTTTATATGGAGGATTAATTCTCTTTTCAATGTTCCTTCTTTATGACACACAGCGTATCATCAAAAGAGCAGAAACTACACCAAATTATGGCTATTCCAACATTGCTCCATATGACCCTATTAACAAGTAAGTAGAACTGCATAAAGTTGATGCAACTTGATTGTTTATTGTTGTCTTATATTAAAATTCGTTTATCTTTTACAGTGCTATTTCAATTTATTTGGACACAATCAACATCTTCATCCGAATTCTTTCCATTCTTGCTGGAGGTGGCAACCGACGTAAATAGATACATAGATTGAATTGAGATTTAATATAACGAACTAAGTATTGAAAATAAGTTGGTTTTGCATAAAAAATTGTAAAAAATCAAATGCTTTGGCCAACTTAAAGTTGAAAACGCATATTATAAATTTGTTGAAACACATAATTTACGAATTATATTACTTTTAACTACTAGTTTAAATTTTTACTTGAGACAGATGGTGAACAGAAAAATTTTGGTAAAATGTCCAATATCACATGAGAAAGATTTCTGTTAAAATTTCATCCAGTGACAAATATTAAAATAAACCAAAGTTTCTCATAAATTAATTATTTTTATTATCCTATGACCATTCATACATTTATCAATGTAAAAAACGTCAAGATTCTTAAAAATCACATAAGGAATGAATATGTAAACAATAATAAGTCTTTGCCTTTGACAAGAACGAATTGCACGATGTAATAACATCGACAAAAATATATGTTATCGTTTCTATTTGATTTGAATACAACGGTAAAATGTATAAATATATATATACATAATCTGTATACATATATAGTGTGATTCATCGCCTTAAAATACTTACTCAGATAAATATCGATTTCATATAATAAGCTTTTGTTGCGATTTTTTTTAGTTTTCAACTTAACAGCTATAAATCGTTTATTTTTGCATTTTAGAAACTAGCTTGCACTCTGTGTTTTGTGATAGCAGCAGCAGCGATCGATTCTCTTCTCTTCTCTACTTTATATGACTCGCAAGGAAAATTGTTGCAATCGATACTGGCCGCCTAATAGGATAATTATTCGTCGTACGTATAATGTAGAAATTTTTCAAACGTTGATGTACTCAGACTTGGCTGAATGTCGCTTGAGATAGCCGGCAAATAGCTGTCTCGCTTGGTTGAGCACCTTGTTGACGTCGTGTTGTCGCACCATTTTATTGAAGTGCATCGCCAGCTCGTTGTAATCCATCTGATTGCGCATTATGTGGTCGCGATGCTGGAGCAGCAGTGTGATGCAGAGGAACATGAGGAACGGATTGCCGCCGCCGAACTCGTTGGGCGCCGGTAGATTGTCGCTGCCCAGTTGCGTCTCGTCGTCGCAGGTGCCCGATGGAATGAGATTAGTCAGTTCGGTCGCTTCTTCGCACTGCTCCTGAACTACGGACGTGGGTGGGCTCGCTTCCTCGTCTATCGTCGGAGGCTCTTCTTGCGGCCAACTGTCGGTGCCGTCGCTGTCCGATAAATCGTCGCACCTGCAAAACGTCGCGGAAATTAGTGGTTTTTTTTTTTTTAACTTTACTTTTTTGGTACCAACTACACTTACTTTGTATTACGTTTGAGCAGTCTGATAGGCGTGACAGATTTGACGCCGTTTTGATCCTTCAATATTTCACCGTCGAACTCCAGTTCAGCTTGCTCGTCCGGAGTCGTTGAGTTCTGTTTGTTATTTTGTATCGAATGCAGAGGATTTTCCCAGACGAAAACATCCGCAGCTGGACTACACTTTGGCAGTTCGCTTTCTGATTCACTCTCGATGATTTCGTTCTCCAATTTCGACAACGGACTGTCAGCTGGATGCTCGTTGATCGGCGGAGATGGTCCGAATACTTGACGATCCAGCGACTCCAACTCCAACCGTAGTTCCCTCGTCATAGATGTGGTCATGGGAAAAAAATCCGTCAAATTATCTTCTGGTGAATTGGCGTCGCCTCTCGAGCTCTTGGTCGATAACAGATTGGACGCCGTTGTCGTCATCGACATTACATTGGGCAGCCTGGCAGATGTTTCGGAGTCGTTATCGCTAGGCATGATGCGGCTCTTGTTGAGACTAGCGAAATTCAGAAACTCGTTGAGATTCTTCACGACTCTCACGCACTTGCCGGCTTGAGCCTTGATTTGCTGATCCAGGCTACTGTTACCATTGCTCAAAACTCCCAGACGACGATCTTCGAAATCGAGCAGCGACGTCATGCGTTTGAAAGGTTTGGGACTGGGCGCCGAGTCGACGCTGAGGCACTTTTCGGTCGGTAGATTAATACGATTTCTGGTGTGACGGACTTCGGGACTTTCACTGGTTGGATCCGACAGCTGAGGTCTGTCGCCCAGTCTGAAAAATTGTAAGTATCACTACTCGTTCACGCAAATGCCATTCGGTCAATTTTAAGATTTTCAAACGCATTGTACCTTCTGGTGGATCCCGGGGGATTTTCCGTTGCGCAATTTTCGGCAATGGGCTCATCGGTGTTGCTCACTGTGCGCCTTCTCGCGCTGCCGGAGCTCGCTCCCGAACTCTGCCGTCTGATTGCGCAGACTTTGGTGTAGGCGTTTTCTCGGATTTGTTTGATATTCGGACTAGGTGGAGGAGTGGCCGGTGGAAATTTCACCTCGAAGAGCTTCAGCTCGCCGTTCGGTGGCGGTGAGGCCGGGATCGACGCCCATAATACTTCGAGCATACGCATCGCGTCGTCGAGGGCGAATTCGCGCTTCATTTCCAACAGCAGCCATCTGTAGCAGAAGAGAAGATCGTCCGCCTGGTAGGATTTCAGGTAGGCGTAAAACTCCGGATCGTAGAATTGTAAACCTGTGCAAAGAATATATTTAAATATATCTTCATTCAATCAGAAGGATAAGATAAAATGGTTTACCTTCCGACAGATGCGCGAACTTGGTCGTCATAGCGATACCGTCGAGCATGAAATTTTCTTGAAGCCGCCTCATGAGGGCGCACAGACATATGTACGATTGAGCCTCGTCCCTCATCGTGACGAGAAGCGGCGAAGCCAAGTCACTCATACCCTGGCAGTAACTCACGGAGGGATGGTTCAGGGCGTACGTCGTTAAAATATTGAACAGGCTCGCCGTGTTCTGGTTGTCGTCCGAGCCACCGTAAAATTTGTGATGCCGATCGGTCCTCAGAACGTCCTTACGGACCATACTCGTGACGTAGTCCAATTCGCCGACGTTCTGCCCGTTCTGCATGAGATTTTTCCACGAGTCTCGCAGATTGATGTACTCCTGCGACTTGTTCTTCATGTAATCGATTCTCTGACGACCCGACATGCCGTCGGGATAGACGTTGAGAATGTGCTTCCAGACGACTTTTCGAAGACTCGGCTCGATGCCCCCGAAATATATAACGGCGCGTAATTCTTTCGATTGAACGACCTGACCAATAGGATCCAAAAACTTTCGAAACTCGTTGTCTGCCAATGGTGGACGGGGTGGGTGATTATTACCGTGATTCGAATCATCGCCAAAATTACCTAAGGCTCTTTGTACAAGATTAAATGTTTTTTCCATCTGCAAATGCAAAATTATGAAAAATCAAAACTAGTTTCAAGTGTATACAAATTACAGGACATTCAAGGTATACCTTATTCATAATAATGCCAGGTAATCTGGGGGTCTTGTATGCAAAACCCAGCTCTGGTCTTGAAGCCACATGTTGGTGAACATTTTGTTCCCAATCGCTTTCACATTCATTAGTTTCTCCAAAGGGTTTTAAGTTGACTTGTAAATAAAGATAAGGCTCTGAAGCACTTATAAAAGCAGCGTCTAAATCCCAATCTGATAATAGAAACAGATACGTCTCTGCTCCATAATCATCTGTTGCTCTGTACGAAACAGTGAACTCCCTGAAATAAAACCAAGCTGTCAGTATCGAAACAAAACTTGTAAATCTGAGTTACGCACCCTTTAATATCAAAAGCTTTGATCAAAATACTTTGAAGAACTTCTATAGATGTTATTTGAGGATCCACACTAAACTTTCTGTACTCTGGCTTATGTGGTGTTTCAAACTTCTGAAAAATACATTTGCATTTCATAAATAATTGTTCTAAAAAAAATCTATTGTCATCATAAAGTTGTAATACGCGTACCTTAACTTTAACTCTGACAGCATCTCTAGGGCATCTGAACATTGTGTTAACATGCAAGCACTTTCTGTTCTAATTACATACATATCACTGAATGTGTTCCTTGAACTTTTTCAAATCCTTGAATGTGGCTAAAGTATGGAACGAGGATACACAGCATGGCTTTGACACTGCCGACGAGGGTGACAAGGTAATAAAATCGTATGATAATTCATTGGAGTCACGCGTCGTAAGCAGTTTCGGACAATGTTCGCGATAAAGTCACAACAGTGAACAAAAGTCGTTATCACGATTATTCGACACAATCTTGAGCACACAATTCACGAGATCGTTTGTGTAACGAAATGCAAAAATCAGACTCAATTGTGAAAATCCCAAGTGTAAGAGTCTTGAGGTCGCGTGCACTCACGCTCGTAAATAAGGGCAATGGGTATTTACATATAGTAACAGGCAGTGGCAGTAGAGTAGCAGCAGCAGCAGCTGAGTTCATTTGCGTGTGGACGACATGCCGTTGCAGCGCACCATAACAACAGCGATCTGTCACACAGTCCGGGGGCTGGGAAAAATTTCGCGTAAAAATTTTTCGCGTTGATGCAAAACTTTCAAGTTACGAAGGAGCAACCATGCGCCAAACTGTTACTGTTGTAGTACTGCAGCTCTGCGTGCTGCTCGCGGCTACACCACCAGCTGCTGGAGGTTTGCGTGTTTAGCATTGGCAAACTCTAGTATAGGCGCTATATCGACTGCGAAACGTATAATAACTGTATATACATGGCTGCACATACGGACTGCAGCAGCAGCAGCAGCAGCGACTAAACGCTCTTGAGAGTTAGTGTGTACATAACAGTTTTCAACGGTTCTCGCCGCGAAATTTTATGCAGCTGCTCCTACGCGCCGATGGATATGCAATTACACATTACCACAATTACAGAAATTTAAGCGCGGAAATTGAGCGCAACTGCATTTTCTGAAAAAAGCACGATGAAAATGTTTCGTTTGTAAACAAGAATAGATATGAGCGGTAATTAGGGTGATAAGAAATTCTCGTAATTTTTACGAGCTGCTCTGGATAATGTTTTCGATTTCCCGACTATTGTTTACTTCTCTTACTTCATCTAATTTCGAATAACTATCAGCGGCACGAGCTTTTCCGTGAAATTTCGAATCGGAAAAAGCAAATCGGTATTTTGAATTACATTCGAAGAGCCGTAGGAAAATAATTGTAGAGGAACCCTTAAAAGCCCCAAATATGGTTCGAACTTCAAAGTATGACGAAAGCAGGTTAAGTGTAGGCACACAGTCTCATGCCGCTTAGTCGTCGTAAACACTAAAAGTGAAAGTTTTTGACTTTTTGTTCAATAAACCTGATTGATTAATAGTTGAGTTTTTGGCAAAATAAAATTTAAAAAAAATGTCGGATCCAGAATTGGAACAGCTTCGTCAGCAACGTCTAGCCCAATTGCAAGCACAACAAAAGGTTACTGAGATTTTTGAATTTATAATTTTTTTTTAACTAAGTTGTGTGTGACTAAAAATTTATTATCAATGTATTATACAGGGCCAAGATGGCAGCAATCAACAACAAGCTATGGAAGAAAAAAAACAACAGATGGAAGATATGCGAAACTCCATTCTTAGTCAAGTACTCGATCAGAATGCCAGAGCTCGACGTAAGAATTTATTGATCAATTGTGTCATATTTTAATCTTTCAAGAAATTTAATCACATCTTATTTTGTAATTTTTAGTAAACACATTGAGTTTAGGAAAACCAGAAAAAGGGAAAATGGTGGAAAATATGATTTGTGCTATGGCACAAAGAGGACAAATTGCCAATAAAATTGGAGAGAAAGAATTAATAAGTATCTTAGAAAGTATAAATAGACAAACAAGTTCAACGACGTCAAAAGTAAAGGTATGACACACTTGAAAATAATTTTGATTTGTAAGAAATTTTAACTAGTAGTGCCAAGAGTTTCAAAAGAATAGTCATTTGTTGAATGCTGTGAATCAAATGTAACAAACATGATTTTCACAAATATGTATTATTTAAAACATTTTATCTACAGTTGTCATATCAAATGAGATTCAACATTTATTAATAAATATATTTTATACATCAGTATTAATAAGACTTGATGAAGGTAGCACTTCAGTCTTCAAACATATATAAATATTAATATATATTTGTATAAGTTTTACATATGAATATTCCAATATTGTCTTACAAAACAATTGTTTAGAGTTATCAATTAAATTTTGAATGCTCTGACAATGTTTTAATAAGCTCTTCACAGCATATACAGATTCTATATAACATATAACTTATTGATAAAACTTCAAATCAACACTTAATAAATAAAAAAAATGGTTTTTCAGTTTGACCGACGCAGAGCAGCCTTGGATTCAGATGATGATGATTTGTAGCATTAGTTAAACATTGTTTCATATAATGCACGAGTAAAAGGCAAATGTATGCTCTAATTATGCACGAATACAAAAACATTGAAGACTTTACATGATTTTTTGTCTTGTTATAAAACTACTTTTAATAAGTACAATTTTTAAGAATACAAGGGTACTCTTCTCACTCACTTTTCACTCACCAATAAAATTAAAATGTTCTTAATGCGATGAATGTAAACTTGTAAAAAATGTATTGTTACAGTTTTTAGTTTCAATATAGGATTTTTTCTTTTCTTTGCTGGAACATGAATATTCTAGTCTTTCTTTTTATGACTTGCTTCTGCATTTTCTAAAAAATAAATATTTTAATAAAATTTACTTATTTGAAATCTATTCAATTTAATACAATCCAATAAAAAGTATTCATCAAGTTACCTTCTTCCTCATCATCTGCATCAAATATATCTGGACACCAGATATTATAGCAAATAAGAGATAAAAATCCTGCAGGCAATCCAAACAAAACTAGTGTCAGAATTGGATTGCCTTGCCACATAGACACTAGTGAAGACTTTACTTCAAACCATGATCTATATATTTTTACTACAAAACTGTTTCCTCCGTATTTCTGAAATAAACAAAATACTTGAATTGATTCTTACTTTTGTAAAAAAAGCTTTGGTAAGAATTATTACCGGCGCATTTTCATTTCGAATGTGTTCCAAAAACAATTCAATTGCATGAGGAGTCAACTTTTCTGGCTCATCCTCTGGAAAGTAGTGATGATTAGTTGTAGTATTGATCACAATTAAACTTGGTAATGGTACAACCATCATTGCTATTCTATTGACTAGTTCAGGATTTGCTACCCAACCAAATTGAAAATGACTGAAAAAGAAAGTTTTTCATTCCAGTAAAGCTAATATAAACATTATTTTATAACATAACTTGTAATGTGAATCTTACTCATGGTATTTTTGACGTTTCCTTTTAATGACTGATTCAACCATATCTTTAAATTCTAACATATCAGGTGATACTTCTTCTAAAGGATTCTCCTCTACAACTGCTAAGACTAGATTTTTACCAGTCAAGTATAATTGATAAATATTTCCTTGAGTTACTTTTGGGAATGTTGGGAATCTTTCAGCATTTACCCACTTATAAATAGTTTCATTTAGTTTCTTTCTATCAGTTATATCATGGCCTGTACAGAAAAATATTTGGACAAATTGAAGTAAATTTCTACTATAATGAATAATTCAAAACAATCTTAATCTTAAGTACCTGAAAAATTGTAATGTGAATTTTCTTTGTAAACAAATAACGTTGGTGTTTTTACAATAGGAGCATGCTTGTCAACCACAACCGGATGAGATTGGTAAAAGAAAGCATGAGGTTGAAATATGCTTGCAACATTGTGATAAATGTCCCATATCATTCCAGATCTCTCACCGACGTACAAAAAATAGACCTCTCTATCTTTTTTAAGAGTATCAAAACTTGTTGTTCTTGTGACTTCCTGCACAACTGGACCACTTAATCTCAAAGCAAACTTAACTATTTCATCTCTAGTCCTATCACCATTGTAAACAAACTGCTGATCTCCCTTAAAACTGTAATTAACAAAAAATAATTGAGTCAATTGAAAAATTGATGAGAATTATAATGCTTTACTTACAACATGATTGTTGGAAATCCTTTGATTTGAAAAGTATGAGCTACATTTTTAAACCTAGTACAATCTATTCGTCCAACTCTTATCGATGTGGAATGCAGATACTGCGCAACATGGGCCCACACCGGTTCTAATCTCTTGCAATGAGCACACCAAGGTGCATACATCTGAAAAATTATTATAAATTAAAAAAGCACGTCGACGAAGCACATCTTCAATCATTGATTTACATACCATTATGAGCCATGGTCCTTCTTTGTGTATATCCAAGAGTCTGCAAGCAAAAACAATAATGAATGTGCGAAATGCAACGAGAATAAATATGCAAGCATGATTTGCAACTTACTTGTCGCTAAGCTCCAAAACACGCGACGCCTCCGTGCTGCTGACAATAACTGAAACATAATTCGAAAGAAATGCTTAATTTTGCGCTCTCGCAACGAATTTTTATTTGTTAAAAGAGCGTAAAAAGAATCGCGCGTGGTTACACCGAGTAATCGAGAGAAAGTGACTCTCGTCCAAAAAAAAAGCTTTCATTCTCCGAAGCCGAGGAGTGTATATCGATCGGCTATTGATATGGTTGTGCGAGAGAACGCGGTACTCGGCTGGCACGGTGTATTTTTGTTTACCGCGAATCCCTCAAGGGTTAAAAAAAGCTCGGCGAGTAATTTATCATAAACACCTGTGCAGGCGATGAAGATGAACAGCCTTATCAGCGAGACCATGTTGCTGAAAACGGAGCAGCTTCTTTTTTCAACGCAAACAGGTGTACCGAAGAGCGTCGTCGGATGCGGTAGTACGGCGTCGAACTGGATTGAACACTTCACAAAAACTCGATTAAGTCACGGACTCTCTCGGATCATCTCGTCGCTCGTTTCTCCTAATCAATTCATTTTTTCGCTCGTAAACTATGTAATAATAGAACGAGCAAAGTGTACGCGGGTATGTACACGCGAAGAGGCAGCGCCGGATACCGCCACAGCCAAATAGTAGTATACGTACGACGACTTGACGACTGACAAATCGAGCACTCTCGATGAGTCAAGTTATTTTCACAAAAAACTCCGGCGATTGGCGCCGTGGAAAAGTATATTGAGAGCTCTGCTGCTCCGGCTTGTGTGCAGTATATATAAGTAAGTGTATCTCGCGGTCACTATAATTCCTTCCTCGGTCGCGCACTCGTTTTTTTTTTTATAAACTGCAGGAAGAATCAGGAGAGCAATGAGCCAAAGTACGCGACATATCGGCTGCTCGCGGTGGACATTGCACTCGCCTTACTGCCGCACATGCATTAGGCATTCTACTGCTCTGCTGCTGCGTGCAGGCAGTATACCAGTGTCTATATCGTATATATGCACGTTACACGCCTACTATCGCGTATATAGCCGCGAGCCGAGTAGCGATGTGTGCGAAGGGTGCGACTCGTTGTCGGCGGCCTCCGTGTTATACTCTGATCGTGCGTATACTTAGTATCTTGCTAAAGGCCGAGGGTTGTCACTTTACGCTCGGCCTTACTTATTCGAACAGCTGAGCAAATAATATGAATAATCAATAAATGATTTTCGATATCGGGAAGGTAGAGAAAATAGTACACATCCGTGTATGTTTGACAGGATTTTTATTCTAAAATCAATAAAAGCTATGTAAATAATAATTCTGTCACAATACTCATCTCAAATACTTATGATAAACATTAATGACTTTTAAGTTTGTTTCTTTTTTTTTTTTTTGTACATTTATCAATATGAAATTGCAATAAATTATTAAGTTGATCACATAAAAACTACTCTTATAGAATTTGAAAAATAAAATTGGATAAATAAGGGTACAACAGTCTCTTGACAAACTTTGATGACTCGATAAACTATAAATTGTCAATTCATGAATTGTTATTAATACTTCTTTAGTGATTCTGTCGTCTGCGCGCAGCCCTTTGCTTGTCAAATCTCATTTCCATTTCTTCCAATACTCTAGGTGTGTAACGAACAACAAGTTTAACAGAATTTGCTTGTTTCAAGAGTTCAACAGCTCTCTCGTGATTCTCTCCTTCGACACACTGAAATATTGCACAATGAATTATTTTAATTGATTATCAGTTTGTATCTATTAAAATGATGGTAGTACTTACAACTCCGTTCACAGATAACAATTGATCCCCACGTTTCAATCCACCATGCCTATCTGCTACACCACCAGGAATGATTCTTGAAATATAAATTGGTGAATTTTGCTCTCTGCCACCCATAACATTGAATCCTAATCCTTCATCAGTTTTAGGAAGTTCCACTACGCGTGGATGAGCATGACCTTCACTTGCAGCAAATGCAGCCACAGTGGCTTTTGCAGTAGCAACAGCTCTGACATCTTGAGAACCCTGTGAATGCAAATTGCAATTGGCATTAAGAAAGGAATGTAAAATCTGCATAAGTAATGAATAAGTTGGTCACCTGAATATCCACAGATTCATAAATATGTTCATAGACTTCTCTCACTGCATTGAGAAAATCACTTTGTAAAACTTTTTGTAAGGCAGACAATTTTGTTACTGGGATTTCTCCACCTTTTAAAAAAACAACTTATTTAATCTCCACAATTATAATTAAAGTATGGTTTGAATGATGGGTAAAAAAGTATAGCAGAATAAAGCTTACTTTTCTGTAATTTATCCAAAAGCTCGATGGATCTCTTGATATCTATGAAAGAAACACATATTATAGGACTTGTTTACGTTTGGATTGAATTATGTCAAAATATTTACCTCGCTCCAAATGCAAAGTTTCTCCTACAACAGCCATTTCGCGTGTTTTGATGAAGTTTGCAAGGTTAAGTACAGCAATAGACTGTGTGTGCACTCTACACGCAGCTTTCACTCGCTCGGAGAAACGAAATAAACTATATCAAAGAAAAATTATACAATTCGAATATGCGAATTGGCTCGAAATCGAGGAGTTCGATTCGAACTTAATGATGCTGCGACAAGTGTGACAAGTGACACCGTAGTGCAGCTAGAGAAGCTGTTGCTATGTTATAGTCATGAATGACAGTACTAGTCAGTGCAGAGTTTCGGAGTTGGGAGTCAGCCGCGCTCATCACTCCAGTTATATATATAACAGCAATAGTCGTCGGCATAAAAGTTGCATATGTCAGGAGCGCGAGTTTGGTCGAATCGCTTAGTACAGGCGCAAATTTACGCGAGTTTGACGTAAAGCAGAGTATAAGGCAATATACGTAGGCGTGGAGTGCCAATTTTATGGGTACTTATTGAAAAATAAATAAATAAAATAAAAGTATGGATTTGCGCGAGCATACGATGTTTCCTCGGTTTGCGAGGGAGCAACAGAGAGTCAACGTCTTTTACCTCGATTCGTAACGGCTGAAAGAGGATGGATTTTTCGACCAATACGGACCCGCAATTCATACCGAACCTAGAGAAAACGTTTATATGGCTGTAGGACTATTACAAAATAATGCCGAGTGATAAAAATAGTTATTAAATTTTTGAAATCTTGGATAAAAGCGTGGAAAAATGTAGGACTCAGTATCGATGGTATCTCTGTGATCGTTGCACTCTGATCCTGTGGGCATCGCAAAGCGGATTTATTCGTTGAATGTGATTTGAAGGTTTGGGATCGATTAGATGTTTTTTTTTTTTTTTTTTAATAGAAAAAAAGTCTTTTATTTTGCATATTAATTTGAACAAAAGTTTACAAATCAGAGNGGGGGGGGGGGGGGGGGGGGGGGGGGGGGGGGGGGGTCAGCGTGGCAACCAAGAGCACACACCGGAATCCATCGCTACTGACATTACTTCGGTGTGGACCCCAGCCGCCTTTCAACTGCTTTCGTTTCAGTAGCTATTTATCGTCCTTGGTCTTGTTGAACGATTGCTTCTTGCCTCAGTCTTGTAATTACTGTCTTCGCGAAATTGGAAACCGCGTTCCAATTAGACCTGTCTCTCAACATGAGCCGGACGATGTTCTCCGGTTCGGTCCGCTCGCCAATTTGCGCCTGCAGCACTTCTCTTTCGGGCTCAAAACGCAAGCAGTGGAAAAATACGTGCTCCACGTTTTCAGTTTCGTCGAGGCAAACCGGGCACCGTGCGCTGGCGTTGTTGTCGTAGGCTATGGTGTCTGAAGTAGCCGTGCCTGGTCATTAGCTGCGTGAGGTGGTAAGACATCTCACCATGTCGCCGTTCTACCCATTCCTTGATGTCCGGGACCAGTCGGTGCGTCCATCTGCCCTTTGTCGACTAGTCACACTGGACCTGCCATCTTCTGAGCGTCTCCTGCCGCTCGTCGCCTCGGCCCGCATCGTCGCGGCTGCGATGGAAAAGCCTGGCTCGCTCGGATCGATTAGATGTTGCGTGCCATCAATGTTCGCGTACTACTCGTATGTCGCAGAGGCATAATTACCACAAAATGAACAATCTTCAAATTTATCTTGTAAATCATCCATTACCAATTCTTGAAGGCTGGATATTCCTTTAGCACGAAGTTCCTGAATATAGGGAGTTATCAAAATTAACTTCTCTTCCGTTTGGTTGGTGCATTCTTCACAAATTATTGTTTTTGTATTCTCACATATTGGCTCGAATAATTTTTTATATAATGAACTGATACTATGCTCACACCTTATTTCTCTATGGTCTTTTAAAATGTAATCTTCCTTTTTTTCAGATGTTTCTTTTACAACCAACATATACTTCAATCTTTCTTTATAAAAAATTCAAGCGAACAATCTGATTGAAGGTAGTCGAGTATAAGTTTAAAAACATTTTGCTCTGTACCGTTTCTATTTTGATTCATTTGAAACAGATTTTCAAAGATAATTTGACTTTCTTTTAGTAAACATATAAAAAATTCTGTTAAACTATCTATGGGGCATGTATTTTTAATTTTATACAGTTGATTATCGTGCGTCAACTTATTACATTTATTTCCATTGACAAATACTATATGATTCTGAAGTTTTTCCCATACACTATATAAAGTGGTCACTTCATGTTGATCTGCTTCAATGTTGTCGTTTTGAACAATAGGCCGATTTTCTTCAAAAGACAAAACTTCTCCTGTACAACCTGTATGACCATCTTGTCCAAACCAACCTTCCGTATGACATAAGTGGCTATAGTCAAATGAAATTTCATTTTCTTACTACTATGGCCTAAAATTTGCCTTTCGTCCCTGCGCATGTAAGCCGAATGCTCGTTTTTCCTCCCTGCTGGCTTGCAACTAAAAGATACATTCACACGCATGAACAAGTTACGATACCGTATAACCTATCTATTAATGTCCATACGTAGTGTAAACAATCTCAATTATTGCACAACAAAACTTCACCAATTAATCGCGATGAATCCTGAAAATGTATCTTAAGATGACAGCTCTGATGAAGAAGAAATACTTCGCGATTTTGATAAAGAAGCGCAGTTAATAATCGATCATTTCTTTCGTTTCCAAAGCAAGCAGACTCTGTAACATTTTGAAGCTCGCAAAGCTGGACTTGAGTCGTTTTGCCTTTTCCTGGTTTTCGCTAAATGGACTTAAGTCGTTATGCGCAATGCTAAAACTAACGATAGGCGCTATACTCGTCTATTCTGACCTTTGTACCTTAAAGTACACACTGAATACGGGCGTTTTTATCATAAAACCGATTTCCGAAAAAATGGACTTAAGTCCTTATGCCTTTCCACCACAGAATATATACTCGTGTCTATATGGTCAAATCCCCAAATAAAATGCCGTTTCAGCTCGATTTCGGGCTGAATTTCCATCCAAAATCCAGCCAATCATTTTTAACAGGGTACTATTAGATCGCTTTCGCTGATCTCCGAATCATGATTCCGATTTATCATGAGGAGTGCGAACTGACGTTGCTGATCTGCAAACTTGCCATTCGGAGCGCGACATGCGCTCCTCGATAATTTGTACATATTTCATTCTATGTATTCTTGAATCGAATGAAATATCGAATTAATTTTAAAAGTACATGTGATCTGAGACACTTTTTTTACCTCCCTTGTTTCGTAACGTACTGTATTGAAACAACCAGAAGATTCGATAAAATGTTAAATCTAGTTTGAAACAATTAAACACGATTGCAATTAATTTCAATAAATTTATAATTTTTTAGTCATTCTTTGTGAATTTCCAGATTACGGGGAAAACATTGACAAATCTGAGATAAATCTGCAATTGCATGTCCTCGTAAAATTACTAAACCCAATAAGCCGCATAAAACATACAATTAACAAAGCATTGCAAAATGACTCTTATTTATCGTTCAAATTGATTTAGCGATGACGAAAAGTGCCGTGCAAATAATATTGTTTGAGATCGAATGAGAGAACCTGTTAAACTCGCTGCCCCTGAACTTAGGCAGCCAAAAGTACCAGCTGAAGTGACGGGTTGACGCATAATCAAACAACTCGAACGGTCATTGGATTTTGAAAATTTCACACAGTTTAGTCGAGGAGACGTGACCATCCACAAAGCTTTAAAATCATTTTTGTTGAAAATTATTTTTCGAAACACGCCAATTATCTGAATAAACGCAGATTCCTTTGCCCTACTTTCATACACAGCTCTAATTCTTAACACTCGTGCTTTTTGGAAAATCCAGTCGTGACGATAAAGCATACCTCTGGTATTTTATGTCTAAAAATACGAAGGAATTTTGCGTGTAACGAGACTAGACTATAGCCGCGCGATTTATTATTATATATATATAGTTGATTCTCGCGGCGGCGCTTATCGTTGTCTTGCGAATTCGCTATATACGATTGTAAAAGCGCCGAGAGCTGACATTTCAACTCTGTTGCGGCTCTCGCGTCTCTCTTCGATTCTTCCGATCTCATATGAATACGCACACACACACACGCAAACTTATACTTTACGTATGTACTTAAAAATGTATATATATATCCGCACACGCGGCGGCTCGTTATTAACGCTCGCCGAAGCCGAAGCGGCCGCTGCTGCTGCTCCATACGATTATTCGTATACACAAGGCGGCACTGCGGCATTCATTAGTGCGCGTTGGTCCAACGATCAGCCCACATTACTTCTGCGATCTGCTGATTCCTTCGAGTGTCGTGCCGTTTTCTTATACAAATATAAGCCATGAGGCCTGAGACAGGTTCGTTCTAATTTATCTATAATGCCTAAGTCTTCTTCTTCTTCTTCTTCCTCCTCGTTTTTTCCGCGCTGCATTTCTCTGCGCCTTTTAATAGAGCGATAAATTCAGCTTAATTATTTAACATGTGCACACGCCGAATTGAGTCGTCGTCGCGCGCGCGCGCGCGTCTATTAGCAAAACTTTATACACTGCATCGTTTATCGGGGCTGCGGATCGTAATACAAGTGTGTGTGCGTGCAGTTTCTCATCAGTCAAGGTCAAGTTCGTCGCGCACAGAACTATCGATCGATCGAGCGAGACAAAGAGGAAATTAAATTACGAAAATTACATTCGCACGTCGCCGGAGAGCTGCAAATATGAAGTATTTTTACCGCGATTAAACGCGCAATGTGTTGCGCGCTAAGTAAATTTAACAAATGTGCTCGGCATATTATGTGCGGGCTGCTGCTGCTGCGCGGGGAAATTCCCAAAAGTATTTAATGACGCGCTCGTAGCTAGCTCGCTCGCTCGCTCGGGGATCTCGATTTTGGGGATTTTTTTTTTTCTTCTTTTGTATTTACACACGTGGTAATTGATATAAATCCATCTGCGGACGATCACCTTGTTGCGCGCAGGATGGCTCTTCATGGCGTCCCTTCTGAGCGGCTGGAACGGCTCCGCCTTGTCGCAGAACGCCACCACGACGATGACGAGCTCGGTTAAGCCGATCAACGCTACCGATTTACCGATCGCCATCGATACAAGGACTACGCTCAATGGCGGCCTCAAGTACGACGTGTTCGATTGGAATACTCTCAAAGTGAGTCGACTGCGTGTGATATTTTTTGACTAGTTCGCCTTCGATTAATTAACACTATGATACTTAGAGCATGATGAAACACGGCGGCGACTTGGAGAACATAGTGGTGTCGCCGATCGCCCTCAAGCTCGCCCTGGCTCTGCTCTACGAGGGCGCCCAGGGCGTGACCAAGCAGGAGCTCGGCAAAGTGCTGAACCTGCCCGAGGCCAGCACGGCCGCCTCCGCCGAGATCCGCAACAAGTTCGTCGAGATGCTGAACTCGCTGAAGGACGAGCGAGCCGATCAGGCGGCCGAGGTCAGGCTGGGATCGCGTCTGTTCGTCGACGACTGCTACACGATCCTCAAGCGCTACACGAGCATCGCCAAGGGCGTCTACGACACGGACGTCGACAGGGTCAACTTCACCGACTCGAAGGCGGCCGCCGCCAGGATCAACGACTACATCAAGGAGTTGACCAACGGCCACGTCGAGCGCATCATCGTAGACGGTAATTGACAAAATCGAACGGATATACGACGACGGATCGTTTGTGATGTAATACGTGTTGCAGAAGCGAGCCTGAAAGACAGCGCCATGGTGATCGCCAACGCCGTGTACTTCAGGGCGGCTTGGCTGGACCGGCCCTTCGACCCCAAGGAAACGCGCCTCGGCCAGTTCTTCCTGAACAACGACAAATTCGTCACGGTGCAGTTCATGCGCTCCAGCGGACAATTCTTCTTCGCCTACGTGCCGGAATTGGACGCTCGAGTCCTCAAGATTCCTTACGCCGTAAGTACTCTCAATTCCCCAATCCCCATCTAGTCTTATAGAACACGAGTCTGGGTACTGATCGGCAACCTTTGTACACAGGGTGGAAAATACTCGATGAACCTGATGCTGCCCGAGCAGCGTAACAAGCTCGGCGAGATGATGGCCAAGGTGACCCCGGGCACGCTCAAGCACAGCTCGATGAGGTTCGAGAAGCAGTCGGTGGACGTCGTGCTGCCCCGCTTCCGTTTCCGGGCGAGCAACGACCTGCAGCCGGTCCTCAAGGATCTCGGCCTCAAGAGCGTCTTCGGCGCCGACGCGGACCTACCGATCGTCCTCGAGACCAAGCCCCAGGCCAGCGGCGGCAAGTCGCTGCACGTGTCCAACATCCTGCAGAAGGTCGGCATCGAGGTCAGCGAGGCCGGCACCGAGGCCTACGCCGCCACGGGTAAATATTGCGCGCGATTCGCCAATTAGGCGCTTGTATATACACATTGTTCGTGTATATATACGTATATTTGTTTATCGCTCGCGACGACACGTAATAAGAGAAAGAGACGACAACGACGACGACGAATGCGCGAGATTAGACGCTGCCTCGTTGTGTAACGAATTTACGAGCCAAAGAGGAATATAAATATATGCGCGGCGCGCACCGGCGGACGAGTCGCATACTATATAATAAAAGCTCTCGGGGATCGGCTTCGTTATCAAAAATTGTATGACATAAAAGTTGTATATACACGAGAGAGTTTTGTATATAGGAGCATCGATTTCCATATTATGCTAATTAACGCGCGACACTGCGCATGTCCTGCCGCCGCCGCCGCCGGGACCACAGCTCGTCATCGTCTCTGCTATATACGTCGTTTCGCACGTGTGTCTTTTTTAACGCGCACAGGAGAGGAAGAGACAGAGTGATAAAATAAAAGGAAGGTATATCGGTATAATGCCCCGCGTGACAGCTTGTTTCTCGCTATGCTCGACACATGTATATACATACTCGATACACGATTATTATGGCATGGGTCATTCTCCTGTATGCCTACCTTTTTTTTTGAACGAAACTTGCACGCGCGCGGCCTGACGTTATGAAAAGAGTCGTGATTTTTTGTTTCAAAGAAAACCCAGATCCTTTCTAATGCCAATTATCGTCATAAATGTCTTTACAGAGATTCAGCTGGACAACAAGATGCAGGGCGAGCTGTTCATCGCCAATCATCCGTTCGCCTTCTACCTGGAGGACGAGGCCAGCGGCGCTCTCTTGTTCGCCGGCGTCGTCAACGATCCGCTCAAGCTCGAAAATCGAATCGGAGCGGAAGAGGTAGTAGCACCAGCGACGCCCGAAGTCGTTCCTGCATCGGCACCCCTGCCACCGCAGCAAGTGGTTCCCGCATCGGCACCACCGCCACCCAGTCCAGTTTACCCTCAGTCGGCCTCGGCCGATGAAGCGTCGTTCGCGTCGGCGCCTCTACCACCGGCGGCGAGCTTTCCAGCATCGGCACCTCTACCACCTCCACCTCCGAGTTTTTCCGGGTCGCTTCCTCCTCCTCCGGCGTTCGTGCCGGTGCCCCAGCAAGACGTGCCCGCGGCCATCGCCCAGATATTTCCACCGCCGGGCGCGCCCGTACCCCAGCTACCGGCCCAGCAGGTAGACCTGCTGGCCAACAACGACGTGCAGTTGCAGCTACCCAACAACGGACCAGGTATTATTTTATTACAGGCAAAAATTGCAATGATCGTTGGTCGTCGGTCGCGCGATAAATGCCCGAATAAAAACGAGCTGCTGCTGCTGCTGATGCTGCGGCGGCGTAAGTATGCCGCATTATATACGATCGGCTATGCTGGGAAAAATATCTGCTGCTGTAGAGAGAGAGAGAGAGAATGACTCGAGGAGAGCCAGGCACACAAGGTAAAAGAAACAGAAGGAAAAAAGCAACAACAACACGACGACGAGTTTCTCTCTCTCTCTTAGCAATTCGCAATTTCGCATGTGTGTATCTATATAATAGCTCTTTAGTGGCATATACGCGACGACGACGACGACGAACGAGCGGAAGAAGAAGGGGGGAAGTCAAGTATCAGCAGCAGCAGCAAGAGGCGCGAGAGAGAGGAGATTATAACTTTTTCTCGTCGCGAGAAGAGAGAACGAAGTAGCAATAGCAGGTCTTTTCGGAGAGGAGCATCGCTTGCCGCGCGCCGCGATTTATGTCTCAGTCAGGCGACTGTCTCCTTCGCAGCGTCGCGCTATATACCTCTCTCTCTCTTTTTCCCTCCCTTCTCATCTCTCTCTCTCTCGTTTGGCGAGTCCTTCTTATACACCCATACACACTTGCACACAATATCACGCATACATATATATATATATATATATATATATAGGTATCGTGTCTCCGAGGCACGGTCCACTCCACTACTCCACAACGCACACAGTCTCCTACCATCCAAGCGCGCGCGCGCATACGTGCGCGGTCCAATTTGTCATTTTTATTGCGCGCGCGAGCGCATACCTTAAACTCTCTCTCGAGCCGAGCCGATTTTTTTTTTGGCCTCCTCGACTCGCAAGAGAGCTCCTCCGAAACCGATTCGACCGACCGACCGACGACAGAGAGAGAACGGAGGAGAGTCCCGAGAGTCGCGCGATCAAAGTTAATAGTGCGAGTTTCTGCGTGTGTGTCGGTTTGTTTGTGTGTGTGTGTGCATACAGCAGCATCATGAGGAGGTATCCTCTTGCTCTTTGCCTACTGCTGCTTGTCAGCGTCGTCGCATGCAATGGTACGTGCTCCAATTCTTTTTTTTTTTTTTCGTCAGCGATCCTCAACCGATTAGCTATCATCGCTGTTTTTCGTCCCTAACTTTTAATTTCACGATGACGATCTTTGATGCTGAATATACATTATACGATGCGCAGCTGATGCAGCTGCTGCAAGATCGAACCTGCGATATCGATATCATGTATACGATGCGAATATCGAAGACGATCGACGCGTCGATCGGTAAAGCCGCAGCAGCCTCGGCGCTACACACACGTACTATATGAATAAAGAGAGAGACGGCGAGATCGCCAGGCTCGTGTTTATGATATTGCGATCGACCTCGATTTTCCCGAAAAATCCGTATCAACATGTGCTGCAGCGCGCGTGCGATATATCTTTTCCGCGAACGCATCGGCAAATATTACGTGATCGCACTTATCGAGGCTCTCTAATACCGATGTATTTTTACGACAAAAAAAGAGAGAAAAAAAAATGTACAAAAAAACATCAATTATTTTTTTTTTTTGGTATTGCCCAAGATCGATGCTCTAAACGATTGGTCGCGTCGCTCTCGATACATGTAACCTTGTATATATAGTATATTAACGAATGGCTTTCTCAATCGCACAGGCCACAACTCCGTCATGGGAATCGGCAGCGACTCGAGGCAAAACTTTTTCAACATCGAGCTGCTTCAGGTGCGTTACCGTTAATGATCGTATATACAAAATATCTATACATCGTAATTGATCGATATTAAATGGACTGCCCTAATGATTCGTGTCTCACAGGCGGTGAACGATGAAAGCAGCCACCCCAACGTCGTTCTGGGAACGTCGAGCGTCAAGGCCTGCCTCATGCTGCTGATCGAGGCGGCGCAGGGTCGCAGCCGGCAGCAGCTCCTCACCGCTCTGCGACTGCCCGGCAAACTGTCGGACATCCGCGCGGCCGCCGATCTCAACCTGGCCAATTTCAAGGACCCGACGGCCAGCACCGAGCTCTTGACGGTGGCCAAGCTCTGGACCTCCCAAGACCAGCAGATCAATCGCAACTACAGCGCCACGCTGCAGCGCTACTACCACGGCGAGGTGCAGTCGCTGGACTTCCGCCAGTCCCAGCTCGCGGCCCAGTCCATCAACGCCTGGGTCAATCAGCTGACCAAGGGCTTGATTCGCGAGCTGTACGAGCCGTCGGGCAGCGACCTGTCCCCGGACACCCGCATGATCCTCACCACCGCAGTCTACTTCCGGGGCAAGTGGCTCAAAGCCTTCGACAAGTCGTCGACCCGGGCCGAGTGCTTCCAGGCGCCCAACCGGGGCTGCGTCAAGACGCCCATGATGGAGAGCTACGAGTGGTACAAGTACGCGGTGGTGCCGGCCCTCGACGCCCAGGCCCTCCTGCTGCCCTACGTCTCGGGTCGCATGGCCATGCTGGTGCTGCTGCCCAAGACCTCGGATCCGGCGGCCCTCCAGGGTCTGTCACGGGACTTGGCCTTCACCCCGCTGACCTCGATTCTGGCCTCGATGCGCGACACCGAGATGAGGGTGCAGCTGCCCAGATTCACCATCGACACCGAGATCGACCTGACCAATGACTTGCAAAAGGTAGGCTAGCGCGTGAATATTTGACACGCAACGATAGAGCTATTGATTAATCGATATAACTCGGGTTACAGCTTGGAATCCACGACATATTCAACAACATGGCCGACCTGAGCGGAGCCTTCGCCGCCCCGATCCCTGCGAGCACCACCGTCCCCACCACGGTCACCAAATCGGCGCAGCAGCCGCAACTGACCCAGCACATCGACCGAGTCCTGCACAAGGCCCACATCGAGGTGAGCGAGGAGGGCACCATCGCCGCCGCGGTCACGGGCACGTCCATCGTGCCGCTGATGGGCCCCAGTCATACCGATTTCGTGGCCAATCGGCCCTTCCTCTACTTCCTGCTGGACATGCAGAGCAACGGCATACTGTTCGCCGGCCGCCTCAACGAGCCCACCGAGCTCGTCGTGGACAAGGTGCCGCCGTCATCGTCGCCGGCTACCAAAGTTTAATCGACGATTACACCGCACGATGATTATCCTTCAAGACTGCTGAATCGTCGCGTAACGCGTTTATATTCATAATATTACGTATAAACGCGTGCGATCGATGACTCTTACTCTTTTTTTTTTTATTCACGCACCTTTGAACCTTTATCCTCGTCCTCTCTCCTTCTCCTCCTCCTTCCCATTTTAGGGTTGCACTCGAGCGAGCTGACACATACGCTCTCGACTTTTTTTGTATATACATTATATATACCGTGCGACGCGCGCTGTGATCTTTTATGCTTTATATACGCACTACTGTCAACGATGAGTTAATAAAAAAAAAACATTTTTTTCATTATTTAAACAAACACTTGTATAATAGTCGATAAAAGAGATATCGATCGTAGTCCACCTCCTTGTCGACAGCTTCTCTCGATCGAGCTCGTTCCTAGATAATATATTAGCACACGCATGGCCTTGTGTATATATACACACAGCGAGATTTACGCAGAAGTCGTATATTCGCTTTTTTTCCCACTCGCTGCTCGAGAGAGAGAGAGAGAGAGAGACGATCATCCGAAAAAGTAAGCGGCGATCGTCATAATCGTGTTTACACAACGACACTTTTATCCTCCTGCTCCTCCTCCTCGTTCTCGCGTGCGCGTGTGACTTTTTTTTGCTGCTGCTGCTGCTGCTGCTCATCTTCGTCTTATTCTTTTTCTTCTTCTTCTTTTCATCGCGCGTCTCGTTTCGAATCTAATTATCGGATTTGTATCTACGATTGATTATTATAATGCTCGCTCGCGCGACTCATCTCTCTCTCTTTCTGTCTCTCGCAGTCTCGACCCGATGCGAAATCCAGGGGAATCATTGAAAATTCGATCATCGATCATTCGTACGGGCGCTCGGGACAGCTGTTTCTCTCTCTCTGACTCGCTCTCTGTGTTTCTCCTGCTCTCGGGCCTCGGATGCACCTTGTCCGAGCTTACACACGCATTATATCCATTATATGTGCCGCTGCTGCCGCTATATATATATATACGCGAATCGTCAATCGCTGCGATGCGTAGCAGCTCGGATCCGCTCGCGCGAGGAGAGCTCCCACTACACACAACGTACCTGGAATTTATGATTCATCGAGTTGCGCCGTATAGAGGTAGGTATACTTATGTGTGTGTGTACGCGCGACGAGCCGCGCATATTTTTCGTTTTTTCCCATGCGCGCACATAGGTATACAAACACACAGAGACGGAAAAGAAGGAATACATTATACGGTCGGAGCAGAGGATGGTTGCTGCGGGTGGGTGTGCGACTGTTTACGCGTGAGCTTTTATATTGAATTTAACTTTAAATAATATCGACCGCGTGTTTGACCGTTCATTATCGCCTCCGCGCGAGCAGCAGCAGCTTGTCTTACGAGTCATAATTTCCGAAGATATTAACGCGTGTATATTACACGGGAGATTTGCATAGATTTTACGAGTTGGAGCGAAGAGCGAGAATCGAGGCTTGTTATTTTGTGCCATGCAACATAATAATATAGACGTCTCGGCGCATGGCTGCAATCTTGAATCCGACCTGGACAGCCGCGCACACGTGCGTGCGATCGCTAGCGGACTAAAGCTGCGAATCAAAGTCCGCGTTGGTTATTCAATGTGCTAATTTTGGGAATAAGCAAAAAAAAAAAAACGTCGAGACAATGGGAGCAAATTGTTTTTATTACGCGGAATCCTCGATTGTCCTTTTTAGCCCCTTTCATACGCAATTATTCGATTGTATTTGTCTTGGGATCGAGCTACTTGATTCGATGCCACTATATATACGGCCTGGATAGCGCAGGCATAATTCGAAGGAAAAAAAGCGCAGAGCGAAGACGCAAAGTCACGCGATACGTGCGTAGGTAGACATAACGTTACTCGCGCGTATTACTTTTATATTATACGCGACGATATTCGCGCAGACAGGCGCATACATCCTCGGCAGGAATAATGACGAGATAATCTCGTCGTACAATTGCTCGTTAGCTCGACAACGCGATATTATCCTCGCGGACGAACGAATCAATTTTCTCTAATGACATACACACACACACACACACGAGGAAATGAGGCAATGCATATCTGCTTGGACCGAGCAATTGACCGCATATTCCGAGGGTGAATTAGTTGTCATCGAATTCCGCCGCGATTATTATCATCTTATATGGCCCTGCCGCGCATATGTGTGTGTGTGTGTGTGTGTAGCGAGCGAAACGATCGTCGCGAAATTCCACGTGCGGGTCCAGACGACGACGACGACGACGATCGCCCGATGATCCGAGAAAGATAAGTGCGTGGCACAGGTCATAAATCGTCGCGCCCGGACCAATCTGACAGGGGGTAGTAGCAGCGTCGTCGTGTCCTCTATACATATAATACGCATAACTCGCTCGCACGCGCAAAAAAAAAGCCTAGGCGCACTTCCGATTTCTGCGATTCCTTTTTCTCTCTCTCGTTCGCTCTTTTTTCTCTGCGCTCTCTTCTCTTTCTTGCTTCGCGCGCTCCGTTTCCCCGACGCATCTAGCTAGCTATGTGTAGCTAGCCGAAAAAGAAGCAAAAAATATATCAAAAACAATATTCGCACGCGCGAGAAAAGAAGCTGCGCGCGCGAGCACGCGCGGTTGTCGGCGCGCGGCGGTATTGTTGCATGCGCACGGCAATCGTGAACCCTCCTCTGGCCAGTTGTGTGTATGTATGTTCTTTTTTTTTTTACAATCCTCGCGAACCGGTGCTGCTGCTGCTGCTGCACTGCAGTGTTGAATTTCAGTGCCCCCGAAAGAAGTATAAAACTTTGTGCCGCGACTGCGTGTGAGCTGCTGTATGTATACGCGTTATAATAGTAGTAAACGAAAAAGCTCCGCAACTTGGGATCGAGAGGAATGCGTGTGTATACGTACTGTAACGTACCTGCGTGCGTTTGGTTGTTATATATTCCTGTACTGTAATAGCCCACGCGCTTTTACGAGCTCGCTCTTCAATTTTCTCGGCTGCAGCGCGCGCGCGCGATATATAGCAGCTCCGATGCGCCTTTTATATATTTTTGTACCCCCCTGCGCTCGCGCGTCTTCTTCTGCCTCTCTCGCTCTCAAGCTCCTCGACGACGACAGCTTAGAGAGAGAGAGAGACTTGCATCAAAAATATAGGTACGCAGCAGCAACAACAACGAAAAAAGGGGAAAAAAAGTCCATAGAGATCCTGGCGAAATGTGTTTCTTTGTCGATACGAAACTGCTGCTGCTGCTGCTGCTGCTGCCGCCGCTGCGGCAGTAAAGAAACTCGCGAATATTTGCGATGATTGCGACTTTGAATTTCTAAGAAATCAATGTGTGTGTGTGTGTGTGTGTGTGTGTGTATACAAAGTCCCTTGGAGCGCCTCGACACTAGCTATATAGCAGCGACGATCGCTACACCTGAGATCTGACCGACGAGATAAGCCATTTATATAGGCAGCATCAGCTCGCTGGATACAATTTTTTTTTCTCTTTCTTTCTTTTTTTGACGTATAAGTAAGCATATATATACGCGCCAATGAGAGAGACTGTCCGCGCGCTGCAGAGGAATTATATATGCAATGATTCGCGGCGACGACGACGAGGCTTCCGAGATTTCAACCTGCGCGTGCACGCGGCCTCGGTATAATCATCACCTCATCCTCTCTCGCGTCTCGTTCTGCCTTATAATACTCCAAATACGCGCATGCACACAAAGTGTGTATAATAAAACGTTTCTTTCCTGTTTCGGCGCGCAGGAAAAAAAAGATGACGACGACGACGACGAGCCGAGTAAAAAATAGAGGTCCGTGTAGTACTTTTGAACTACAATGAAATATACGCGACACACTAGCCCCGTGTCCTAAGCTCCAAACAGATTTATGTTTTAAAAATGTTAAAAGTGAAACATTCTAATTGCTGCGAGTTTTTTTCTGCTCTATTTTACAGGTTCTTTAATTAGATCTCCAATAATTTGAATGATAAATAAAAGTAATTTTGCAATGCAGCTTTGACAAATTTGTTAGTAATTTTACGAGGACATATTTATAGATTTATCAAAGAGTTGTACAAGTTTTCGTAATTTGGAAATTTACAAAAATAACTAAAAATATCAAATTTTTTGAATTTGATTGCAATTACATTTTTCTTACCAGATGTACAATTTATTCAATTTCCGAGTCGCTTGCTACAAGTCTTCTGGTTGTTTCAATACAGTAAATTAACAAATAAGGAAGATAAAAAAATTGTCTCAGATCACCGTGTACTTCAGAAATTGATTCAATATTATTTTTTAGATTCAGGAATACATAAAATAAAATATGTATAAAATCACATGTGATTTTTATATAAATCACATGTGATCATTATTTTTACAATAATAAATTCATTTCATTAATATGAGTATAAAACTGTGTGTATTTAGTGTCTATTTTAATATTAAATTTTCAAAATAATTGCATCCAACTCAAAAGATATTTCAAACCAAGTAAACAGGTCACAGTTCTGAAAATATTTGTTATCTCTAAATTATTTTCTAGAAAAATTTAAAAAAGCAAAATTTGTCTCGCAAAAGTGTAAAATATCTGCGTTAGTCATGTTTTTTATGGGAGTACAAGACTCTACTTTTGACTCATGTCCTGTTTCTATGAGACGTTGTTGAAAGAGATTTATAAACATTCTCGAATATCCCCGCACGAGTTTTTTTACTACACATGTTTTAATAATTCTATTGAAGATTGGGAACTCTTCGCTTAGCTCACTTACATTTACTCTCCGCCATAGGTCGGCGGGATTCAGGTAGAAGCATTGGTCAACCTCAGACATACAAAAGTCATACACGGAAATTTGATTCAGAAACTTTACTTGCTTTGCACGCCTGAGCTCTTGATCAATTGCTCGCTGCAGGGGAGAAAGATTTGTCAGTTCTTCGTCTTTTACTTGAACCATTAACTTCTTCAGATTTTCATCTTCTGGTTTCAAGTTTTTAGCAAATAAAATAATGCAAGTCTTTTGTGTATCGATGTTAATCAAATCGAAATTTGACAATAATCCTAAACCATCCAAAGTGTAAAACACATTTTCTTCGACAAATAAATCTTCTATAGCCCCTGCAGCCTTGTATTTAGCAAGATTATGTGCCTTGAGCAGATAACGCAGAATGGTCAATTCTTCACGATATGCATCAATCGGTTTCCACCCGTGTTGTTTTAGCAGATAGTACATGCATATAACATTAAGCATGGTGTCAGCTGTTCGCAATTCAATGTCGGCTAGCCATTGAAAACTGAACTGGCTCACGTCAGCTCCTTTTTTCAATAAAACCGAGAAGA